CCAAACATTTCATGTGTTGTTTGCGTTTGACATGATTGGACTAACAAATGCTGTACTGCACACATACAGTTCTAGTGATTTATCCTGGTGAAGGATCATTTCTCCTCCAGCTCCTTCTCCTTTCTCTGTTCTTCACTCAGTCAGTTAAATATCAGCCGTTTCCTCATCCATCACTGCTGGAGTCTCATTTCCACCATGTGTCTGATGCAAATGAACAGCAGTCAGAGTCAGCCCCACCGGAGGGCGTAAACAAGTGCTAGTTTGTATCTTTTTGGTTCAAGTCAAGTGAGTGTAGATCAAAATATGAAGCTAAATTTCAACAAAGATTCTTACCTAATTATTGGCGTGTTCCTCAGACAGGACTCTATTCCTGAGATTCTTGTTTGTTTTTTTAGTAGATTCCATTACATTTTTAGAAGTTGTTTTTATTTAAGACTAATATTTGGGCCTGTGTTACTGAAAAGTAGAATGTACTGTACATTAGCACTAATGGAGTTTTTAACTCAACAAACCAACTAAAGAAATAGCTTGATCAAAGCTAAAGGTTAGCCATTGTTTTTGCATTAGCACAGGATTTTTCTTGCCAAACATTTCATGTGTTGTTTGCGTTTGACATGATTGGACTAACAAATGCTGTACTGCACACATACAGTTCTAGTGATTTATCCTGGTGAAGGATCATTTCTCCTCCAGCTCCTTCTCCTTTCTCTGTTCTTCACTCAGTCAGTTAAATATCAGCCGTTTCCTCATCCATCACTGCTGGAGTCTCATTTCCACCATGTGTCTGATGCAAATGAACAGCAGTCAGAGTCAGCGAGCTGTTGTTTCTCCAACAGTAACAGAGGAGGAGGAAGAAGAGGAGGAGGAGGAGGAGGAGGAACGTCACTTCATCTGTCTGAGCTCGGAGTAAACCAGCTCACGGCTCAGCCTGATTTTGAAACAGGGTTGGTTTAGGAAAGCATCGCTGAGCTGGAAATGCATTTTACTGTTGTGAGTGATGGTCAGGTTTTAATGAAGGCCATGTGAACATGAGCAGCATTTATCCTGCTGCCTGTCTGAATCTCCAACGTTTAGCAGACAGAGGGAGTCAGGGAGGTCTGGGAGGAAGAGGAATGAAGATGGATGACTTTGTGTTGTGTAGACTTCAGCAAGTCGGGTTTTTTGTTTGTTTGTTTTTTCTCAGCAGCTACGATCATTCTGTGCCTCCTGTTATTAAGAAGAAAGAAAGAAAAAAAACAAGAACCTTCAGAAATGGAGGCAGCTTTGAAGCTAAAACTGTCAGATGTAGTTTTATTTAGAGTTAAAAATCTGTCAGTTGTCACCACAAGGTGGCTCTGATATCTGTTTTACTCTTTTTTCCCACACACACCAGTGTCTTTAAAGAGTTCTTCTTTTGATTCTCCTGCAGCAAATCCCATAGAACTGAGTTCGCTTTGAGTTCACATTAACAATAAAATGTATCAATTTATTTTATAATCTGGTTGATCATATTACAGTGTTTTATTACACTTTCTGACCACACGAGGCAGCAGTAGACCAGCAGCTCTTGATGAGCTAAAAGATACCATTTTAAAAGAACAGAACTCCTGAGGGATTAATAAATTATATCTATATGTGTCAATGTAGAATCAAACTATTTATAGTGTGATGTTGCTCTTTATCAAACAAAAAGAACAGTAATTTTAATCTAAAGACAAAGTTTTGTCCGTTGTTACTGATTCTAAATTTGTTATAAATTTTATTCAACCTTCTGTGTTTAAACTTAACTGTTAGTCATACTGTAACGATGTTGTTCTACCACATGAGGCAGTAGTTGACCTGGGTCTCTGTTGTTCAGTTGAATTGTGGGGAAAAAAATTAATGATTTTTTTTTTATGCTCAAACTTGCGTGTCGGTGTGAATAGAACAGCCGCTCCAGAGAGGCTGGGTTTTTTTTTCTCAGTGAAATTAAATATTTTTTTTATTCTTTGTGACACGCGAGTTTGTGTTGCTGCATCTGAGATTATGTGGAAACAAGCAGAATCACTGAGGCAGAACTGTGTGTGTGTGTGTGTGTGTGTGTGCGCGCGCGCGCCTCACCTCCAGCGTTGCTCTGATGCTCAGAGAACAAACTCAGTGAGCCTTACAACCAGACTTCTGTTTCCTCTTGTTTCCATGATGTGAACAACTCTTGGCACAGCACACAGTCGCATGCAACTGTTCTGGGCAAATTCCATGTTTTGGATTAATTAATGGAAACAAGGCAGGATATTTTTAGAAATCCCCTAAAAGCAAAACTAAATCTATAAAATCCAAGCAGCAAAACACAAGATTTTTGTCCAAATGGTGGGAAAAGAACAATGTGAGAAAAGAATGAATTATTGATGTTTTTGCCACAGTTTTTGTAAAATCATCTGAAAGACTATTGTTAAAACAGGAAACCTTTGTTCCAAACAAGTCATCTTCACAAATGTCCTTCCATTGCTTCACAATTTAACTGGTGGAAATCTTGTAAAATGTTTGACCTAAATGTGTCAAATAACCAAATTAAATCATAAATAAGTTAATGAATAGTTAGCGGTTATCATGCTTGCCTAAAAAACTGAAGGTCCTGGATTTGAACCCTCCTCATGTAACTTTGGATAAAAGCATCTGTCAAGTATAAAAACACATTTTTTATAACTTTGTATTAGACGTGTTAGAAGCCTTTCATTAATGGGCAAAAATTATTTTTTTTCACTTTCCGTTGGTGGTCCCTTTGTTGTTTCGTTTTTCTGGAGTTTGGCACGGGGGGGGGGAGCAGGGGGTGCCACACAGCTGACGGAAGTGCTGACTGTGTGTGAGGCAGTGGGTTTAATGACAGATGGCTGTGATTCTGCTGCATTGCAGAGCGTGGGCATGTGAGAGAAAGACCACCAGCCCATTTAGTGTGTATCTGTGTGTGTGTGTGTGTGTGTGTGTGTGTGTGTGTGTGCTCATAAACAAACATGTTTGATTGTTTGTCATGCCGGCTAATAAATAATTGGGGGTCCCCGAGCTTTGGCAGCAATTTAATCTATTTACTGCACACACACACACACACACACACACACACACACACACACACAAATGCATACAATGTGCCACTGTCTGCTGTGATTGAATAAATGAAGAATCTTTTAACCACAACACAGAATATTATTATTGATGCCTCAGCACGGAGTACATTAGTGTGACAGTAAATCTGCTCTTAGTGACAGATACTACAGGGTTTTTTTTTTTTCTCAAGTGTATTTGTACGCACGTGTGAGGTACCGCCACATACAGTACTTGTCGCTGACTTATCACTTCTATAGCCACTTCAGTAGACTTGAGGGATTACTCTATCGCTTTTATTTTCTAGTCGGTTTTTGTACGCAGTGGGCCAGAGTCCATAGAGAAAAACAATGATTTAAACCTGCTGTGGTTTGTGCTGTGATGTTTTACAGATGCTTTGTTTCATAACTCTGTGTCACTGAGCTGAAGCAGAAAAAACAAGCAGAAAAACAAAAAAACCTCTGTCCAATGCTGAAGGCTCAGAAATGACACATCTGATCCTACTGAAGTGGCTCCACAGCTACTGTCTCTCTGTGAGCCTAAAAACGCTGATTCTCCCTGTGGAGGTTTGTAAAGGACTGGAGTGGTTTGAAGGGAAGCACAAGATGGATCACAGGTGAGATGAAAACGGTTGCATTGCAGCATTATTTATCAGTCTGCCCTATTTGGCTGGAGGATGGAGGTTATTGCTTACGCCGTGGTTCATAGAGAAAATCAGTTTTTTATTAATCTCTCAGGGCAAAAGTGGCTCAAGAACTATTTTGCTCTTTGGATTTTTGTGTGAGAAGAATTGGTTTTTGAAGAGCTACAAACCCAGGTATACAGTGAGATTTGCTGCATATCACTTTATATGTAAGATTTATATTACTGCCTGACGGCTGTCTGGACATAAGGCGTGTAAACCTACACCAAAGTCCAACATTTAGAGCTCACAAGGACATGCTGTGTTTCTGATGACTCATTTGGTACATTTGTGTCATTGAGGAAAATTCAAACAAAGGATTTTATCTGCTGAGGTTGAAAAAAACCTGAAGTGGAGTTTGTTATGGAGGAATGTGCTGCAGGAAAATCCAAACGGTTCTGTTTGTACGTAAAGACACTTTATTATCATGAACATACAATTCTGGATAGAATAACTGAATGATAATAACAGGAAAATATTAGCTGTAGTTATATTGTATATATTTATAAAACTAAGCAGAAATACTACTCTGGACTGTTAAAAACATAAATGTCTTTGATTATATATTAAATAGATATACTTCCATCACTGAGTCTAGAAAACAGCACAGAGTTACTGCAGGATACACGTTCACCTGTGCACAGTTAGACTTTGGATGTGGGTCGTATCGTGATGTCCATTTGTAAATAGTAACGACTGGGTCACATCCCACACGACAGAAAGTGGCCACACGAACCTATTCACTTGATCCACATACGAGTACGGATTTAAGGCCATATATTTAACTAAAGTGTGGGCTACGTACGACAAACGTTGTCCCTCTGGTGGTGGGATGGAAAACGTGGGCAACTCACAGGCCCTTCATTAATTCATTGTCGTGGGCCAGTCACATTTCTGTACCAGGTGAATAAGGTTTTCTTTGTGGCCCACATTTTAGACACCTGATTACCAGGTATGGGCCACTGTACTGTACACGTTTCTCACATGGTGGGTGCACTGTAACCAAACATGGCCCACTCCTGCCTCTGTATACCAAAGATCATCTCGCTGGTTTGGTTACGGTTTGAATAGGATGGAGTCCACACTCTGTGTGTCCCAAATATGGACAGTAATCGTCAAATAAGATAAGTTTAATGACGATTGTGTTTCTGATGTGGGCCACAGTAACTGTGCAGTACTGTGGTACAGTAAAATACTTTTAGTAGAGTAGAGTAGGGCTTTATTCTACTCTACTCTACCTGTTGTACTACTCTACCTGTAGTGATACCTGTTATGTGTTATAATACTTCATGATGCAGAGGCTGTAGTTTTGAAGCTGGACTCTTTGGTAATCTGATGACAGACCAACTCAGAGCCAAGATCCTGAATAAATGTGAAACTCAAATCTCCTGTTCTGTTGAAATAAGACAGTGTGAGTCACTGCATGTGACATCATGACCTCAGAGGAAGAGCATCTGCTCTTCTCACTCAGTATTTCTTTTTTGGAGGAGTAGGGTGTAGGAGGAAGGTTTTGTTCATAGATGTAGTCCTGATCAACCCACTGGAGGAGAGTGACGTCCGTCTGTTCTATACACAAGGTCTCTGTCTTTCAAAGAGGTAGGACAAATTTGTTGGCCGTACAAAAATTCCTTTTTCAGCGACACAGTAACAAATCGTTTTCCTTCACGTTGGGTTCTCAGTCTGGTTGTTGGTTGTTTACAGGAAATGCATAGAAGCAGCAGCAGCACAAAGAACAGGGCGAGGAGAGAAAGAGAGAGCGGTGGTGGTCTGTCCAACGTCCAACGTCTCTTAATTGTCTGTTTGTCGTCTTCTTCCACATCCTCCCTTGGCCGTGGTTGGCTAATCCTGAATGATGTTTCACATCAATCTGGTTATTATTGGATCATGTGGACACACACACACACACACGTTCCTCTGTTCTATACGTCCATCAGAACCAGAACTCTGTCCTTTTCTGTCTCAGTCTCTCTCTTTTGTGCATCATTTGCAGCAGTTTCTGATGAGCGACCTGTCAGGGTCAGGAAGCATCAAAGCTGAAAGACAGAGGAGAAACAGTGCATTAGTGCACCTGTGTGTGTGTGTGTGTGTGTGTGTGTGGTCAGCACAACTTTTTTTATTAACATTAAATATTAACCCAGTGCTGACACGTTACATGACAGGAAAAGGAATTAGAACGAATGAAAGGTCGTGGAAACGTCTGACCACCGTGTGTCCTGTGTCCCTGAAGACAGAATTATCTGGTGGTGCAGAATCTGATATAAAACTGCAGGAAAAGCAGCTTCAAATTAGACACAGGCTGAAGTTAGCTCACATTAAAAAAACCTCCAAAATTAAAATAGAAAACTGTGTTCCTGTGTGTATATATATATATATATATNTTGTTAGAACTATTTACTTCACCGTGGGAACCCGTGTGTGTGTGTGTGTGTGTGTGTGTGTGTGTGTGTGTGTGAAACGTACCTATCCCATAGTTTGACATTCCTACAGGCGTTGGTGCAGCAGCCGGCAGAAATCAGAGCTGTGAAGAAACACACACACATCCATGTTTACACACACGTGTTATTCCTCACTCCATCATCACTTTAGAACCTTTAAAGGTCGACTGCACGAGATGAAGTTGAAATATATGCCCCCCCCCCCCTGTAGGTGGCGTCCACAGTGCAGTGCACATGATGAGGCCCACTCTCTTTGGTTTGTACGTTCTGTACCAATTACCACGTGGGCCACCTGAGATTTGACGTCTATTCCTGTCTGAGCCTCATGAAAGCTGTCAGTGCTGCGTCTGTGATTCTTCCATCGTCTGACGGAGACGAGAGACACCTGTTACCTGTTTTTATTATAGCTGCGGATATCGTTCTGGTCTGTGTGTGTGTGTGTGTGTGTGTGTGTGTTAATCCATGTTTTTGGAGAAGAGTCATCAGAACCTGACAGTCCCTTTCATGATAGAAGGAGAGGTCTTTCATAGGCCATCAAAGAGCCCCCGCCCCCCACAGACGCCACATACACATACATAAAACACACCATTTAAATCAATTTAAATGAACACACACACAGTGACAACGTTGTTTAAAAGAGACCTCAGTGTAACACACATTGTGTTATGAGCAAACATATCTACAAAGAGCTTGTGAGCAGTTGTCAGTGTGTGTGTGTGTGTGTGTGTGTGTGTGTGTGTGTTTGATCACTGGTCAGTGCTGTAGAATAGAAGCTCTTATAAATATGCAGAATGTTCCTGTTGTTTCAGTCAGAGCATCAAAGTAGAGCAGGGATGAATGACCAGGGAGGCAGCTGTTGGCCTAGTTAGCCTCCACACACACACACACACACACACACGCCTGTTCTTGCACATGTCCACCTGAGCTGTCAGCCTCAGCTGAACTGTCCTTCACTGACCTCCTCGATGACCGTCATCACTGTGTGTGTGTGTGTGTGTGTATTTTTCGCCCACTTACTCAAACAAGACTAAAATATATTTTCATCCTTGAACGCTTTTACCCTTCGTGAAATGTGTGTATGGAGTTCGAGAACAATTTTATGAATAATTTAAAAAAAACTTCTTGAAAAAATAATTAGTTCTTAATCTTTTAAAAATCACCGTCTTTCATCTTCTCTACAAACAAAAATGTAGAAGAGGATTTAATAAGAGACCAAACTGGGCTGGTCATTAGAGTTTGGACTGAAAGAGCTCAAACGTGCTGACATTTGCAGAGTGCTACGTTATATGCAGCAGTTTGAGAAAATGCACGGTGATGCAGACTGAAGTCCACCGAGGAAACTGGACTCAGCTTTTCTCTGGTTTTTTTATTTGATCGGACGCAACATTTGACAACTGTCTTTTACTACTTTTGTCCAAACAAAAATAGGCAAAAGAGACAAAATAGAAATCTAAACTAAAAAAAAACCTTTAGATTTGATACATCAGTGCTGTGTCCTGACTGTGGCATTGCTCCATGCCCCTCCCTTTGAGAACCACTTCACTGAAGAGCTTATTCTTCAAGGTCTCAAGAGCCTGGATAACATGGTTGTTACAGTAAATATAGACACCATATATACAGTAGAATGAGAAATACATCGTCAATACATAGTTGATTTATTAAGTAACTCTTTTCTAAAGTGGAAAAATTTTAAGCCTTATTTTCCGACTGTCAGACTTGTTTTAATGACTGCCTGAAAACGTGTCTTGAACCTGAACTACAGACGCTACAGCAGCGTAATAACTTTGTAAAATCAGGCCTCAAATTGTGCAGAGGAAATGGGGAAATCCAGAGAATGTTCTGATTGAAGCTGCAGGAAGAAATATTCCATGTAGTGAGAGAAGGATGAAAATTAAATCTTGGCCCCGGTGGAAACAGAAAACTTAAAAAATGAAAAGACTGGAGACAAAAGGAGACATTTTTACCTTCTAGCAATAATAACTAATATACAGGTGGGTCCAAAAACTGGGTGAAAATATAACAAGCAAACAAGGAATATTACAGTCACATGAAGGTGAGGACCTCAGACACAGGGAAGAAGTCGTAATAAAGGGTAAAACAGACGTGTCTTTAAAATGAGAATCTTCTCTGATTTATGACAAGGAAACATTGGGAAGGTGGTGAGTTTTATCACTTTGAGGAGAACTTCAAATTAAATTAGACAAATCAAACCATCTGAGGCAGAAAAATGGGAACTGGAATCTGAATAATTCAAGGTACAAAAGAACGGTATGACAGACTTAAAAGTGTGGAATATTTTTTAAAATGTAAGGAAATAATTTAGATGTAACCAATCAAGAAATAGAACAATTTCTTTGTCTGGTGTTTTGGAGATAGCCAGCCAGAGTTAGCCTTGAGATAGTAGCAAAATTTAAAAAAATCTTTTAGATGTAATTTACAATTTCACCAAATAAGTATTTAGTTAAATTAAAGTTATTTAGAGAAAATATTATAAATTAGCTAAATCATGGCTTGAAGTGAGGACAAAAAGAAAAAAAACAACACATGTAAAATAATGATTTCACTTAATCTTAGCCAAAATGTATTTATTTATAATGGTTTATAAATATCTAGACAGAGTTTTAGAATTAAAATAAAGTCTCTCCGAATAATTTTTAACGTCACTGTGGAAAACCAACCCAGAATTCTCCCTTGATTCAAAACCAAAGCACAGACTGAGCAGCTAACAGCAGCCAGAGGAACAGATTGTGAGGACACGTTGTTGCTGGCATTGAGGGTCACCACGATCCCGTCCAACCATGTCTCCTCAGGAGAATCCACACTGGGATGAAAGCCAGTGAAGTCCATCATTTTCTGGAGCTTCATCTGAACAGACCAGTAGTGGTGGGGACGGGAGGAGATGAGATTTAATTTAACTCTAACACATGTCACAGGAGATAAAATCAGCATTTTTTCCCCCACTGCTAATGAAAAGCACCGACTCCCTCATCAATAATCGGGGCAGTTAGGGCAAAGTCAGGGAACATATGGTAAATTAGAACTAAAGCTTAGAAAATAGCTTCATTTTAACCCTGATCCTTCCTTTAAATCTGTCGGAAAAGCGTGGCCTCTGACCATTGGTGCAAACCAGCAGTGTTAATCCCACACTGTGGTGTTTTAGGTGATGAATCAGCTGATATTGATCTGCTGGTCCACAGTCTGTGTGAGGGGAACGTCAGACCTTCTAAACCCCCTGAGATCAATTAGAAAATCCTTCGTTAATCACTGGCCCTGCGTTGATGCTAACAATAAGAACAGCGTTGAAATGCAGGGTTTAGTTGAAGGTTCATCAGTTTCTGTATCTAAATGCTACAACGAAGACGAACGATGAGTTATTTTTTTACTGAATGTCAGGATAACTGTGAGACAGAGTGGTACAGATGAACACAGTTGATGTTCCTGGGTTGTTTCTCCTCTGCTCAACCGGCTGTGAAGCAGCTCTATTACGTTTCAGCTCAGTTCAGTTGATTCACTTACACCGGCCATAACTTGTTAGGTTTTATGGGTTCTTCTGAGAAGAAGCATCGCTGCGGGGCCTAAAACACTCTCGCGGGCTGAGTGTGGACAGGAGGAAGCAGGCTGTAGATTCATGATGGTGAGATTGATTTCCAAATAAAAGTTCAACTGAGGGATCTGGCTGGGGCGTTAAATTTTAATGCCGAACAAAAAAAAAAAAAAGACTTCTGTCTCATCAGTGAGATTTGTGGCTAGTGGATAAGAACTAATTGTCCGAACTTAAGCCCGAGCCGTTTCTCCTAGTATCCATCATCTGCCCTTTGACCTACAACTGTCATGATATAAACCCAACCCTGTATGACCAGAGACAACCTTTAAAAACTACTGACTCATCATAACCTGTTTGACAAGACAGTTTAAAGAGATTTCCTTATTTTGTTATGTTAACAAAAGTACACACAAACATGGCCGACATGTTCCTGGATTGTTTACATCTATACGGTGCTAGCATGATGAGTGCTAACACTGGTCATGATGAAATATTAATAATAATAAATGTTGTCACACTGTTATGTTTTAAACAGAAGCAGAAACACATTAAGACGAGTGAGTGTATTATTTAAGCTTCTTTGATTTTGCACAACATCAGTCACGTTTTATTAATAGGAACAAAGACCTTCTGGGAACCATTTGTCTCTGATGTGAACCAGATGGATTTGGTTCCACCTCTGTAAAAAAAAAAGCACAACTAATGATTCCTGTTCAGTGATTTGCATTTGGAAAACATTTGCTAAATGTGGAGCCAAAAAAAAAACCATTCAGCTGTCTGAGTGTTTGGTGTGTGTAAGTGGTGATGAAACACAGCGTGTGACAGTCGAGAGCTGGCCTTGTTCAAGTAGTTGAAATGGTCGTGTGTGTGTGTGTGTGTGTTTGCTGTCGGGCTTATCTGGGTGACAGCAGCAAAGCTGCAGGTATGAGTGTGGCTTATGTTTAATAATAGCATCAGGGATGTAATATATATTTAGGGCTCCCTTGACAACTGGCTGTTTGTGTGTGTGTGTTTGTGTGTGTGTGTTTGTGAAGTACACGTCTGCATTACAAAGTTAAATCATCTGAGGTTTCTCTGTTTAAACTCTATTTTGTGGAAAGATTCATTCAAAGTGTATAAGTATTACAAAAGTGATTGATTGATTTAAGATTGTTTCGAATATGAAAATGAAAGAAACTCTTGATATTTCCACCAATCAGGTGTTAGAGACTGTACCAGTAAGAACTGATTCTCAGAACTAGTCACCATGAAGTGTGAGGTCAAGATCTAGATGCCTCGCTGTGTGAATGTACTGTACGGAGCTGGTAGTTCATACTCCCTCCTGATTGGTTGAAAAAAAATGTCATAATCTTGGGTATTTTTTTTTTTTCAAAAACCTGCTGCAAAATCCATCTTTTTTGCGACTTTTCCCTGGAGGCAGCAGTTTATGCCATTGATGAATGACTAATTAGTCTTTTAAAATGGCCGCTGGTGTCAGTAGGTCCTGGTGCTGAGCAACAGGAATGCAGTGTTGGTCATTTGTGCTTGACATTTGGATACTTTCTGCACAATAATGTCAGCTCAGGTCATCTGAGAACGACAGAAACTGCTGTGTTTTCACTTGCACGGAGATGCAAAAGACACACACACAAACACACACACAAGAGATGCAAAAGACACACACACACACACACACACTCACAAATATACAAGTAAGAATTCCGCACGCAATGAATAATATACATTCAAACATGCAGCCGTGCCATCTGTTGCAGTCAACTTTAGATTTGACCCTAAAGCGTTCACTATATGTACATTCAAGCACTACCACACCAATGTTATAATTTATAACAAAACATAAAATAAAAACACACACACACACACACACATAAAAACTCCTTATGTCAGTTAAAACCATGTTTTTGCTGCTTTCAGCAAAAACCTGAGCATTGTGTCTGAGAACAGTAACTGAATATCCCTTTGGAAATGTTCATTGTCATTAATAAATGTTATCAAGCCCATTGTGGATAAATGCAGGTTTTTTATTCATGGACCAAATCCATAATAAAGTCCCTGCATGTTCTCGTGGCGCTGATAAATATCTAACTGTTCCCAACACAAAAGTCCATAGAGGAAAAACACAATCCTACGTCAAGAGATGCAGAAGTTGTAAATCTGTTGTCATCGTTAGTTGTTTTAAATGTGTGATTTAGTGATTTAGTGTCTGACCTCTGAACTCTCTGTCTAACACAAACTAAACTGAAGTGCTCATTTCACAGCCATGTTGCTCCTACCGTTGTAAAGACTGTGGTGGTGGGGGCTTGACTCCTCCCCCACGAGCCTGCGGTGTCCCCCATCCCTGCTGGGGGAGACACTGTTGTACCTTCCCTTGCTGTGTTCCATCCCAGGTCCATGCTGGCAGTGATGGTGGTGTCGTATGGACTCTGGACTCCCGACGATCACCCGGCCTTTCCTCATGAGCTCTGGTGTCCTCGCCCCCGGCTGCTTCACCTCAAGACATCCCAGACATGCGCCCCCTGCTGCATTCACCTGCCTGTGTCTGTGACTCAGATCAGGGCTGGATTTAGTGCCCCCGCTTTTGCAGCCTGGCGATGCCTGGCCTGGAACGAGCAACTGTTTCTGAGCCAACAAGTCACTGCTGCAGGACTTGAGGTCACATGGTACCCTGGTAGGTGACCTGCTGTATTTCTCCGGGCTGTGACCTCGGGGTCTGCAAGGGTCCAGGTTGGTAAGAGAACCGCCACGTGGACGGCAAGACTGAGGGAAGGTGTGGTATTCAGACGCAGAGCTGTTCCTCCTGCCCCCTACTGGTTGACTCACATCGTCTGGTTTGGATTTGATGTGATCTGACGAAGTATAGGACGACCCAGATCCGCTTGAGCCCAGGGTTGGGGGTTTGTGGTGGGGGTTATCGGGGCTGCTGGTGCTCCCTGCACTAGAGGTGCTGCTTCCATCCCCGACGTCTCGCAAAAGTCCAGCCACGGAGACACCTCCACCCAGCTGAGACAAGCTGCTCTGGCTGTCGATGGAACTCCTGCAGCCAGGTCCGACCCCACCACCCGTGCCTCCACCTCCACCCTCAGCCAGCGCTGCCACCGCCGCGTGACCTCGGGGTCTGCAAGGGTCCAGGTTGGTAAGAGAACCGCCACGTGGACGGCAAGACTGAGGGAAGGTGTGGTATTCAGACGCAGAGCTGTTCCTCCTGCCCCCTACTGGTTGACTCACATCGTCTGGTTTGGTTTTGATGTGATCTGACGAAGTATAGGACGACCCGGATCCGCTTGAGCCCAGGGTTGGGGGTTTGTGGTGGGGGTTATCGGGGCTGCTGGTGCTCCCTGCACTAGAGGTGCTGCTTCCATCCCCGACGTCTCGCAAAAGTCCAGCCACGGAGACACCTCCACCCAGCTGAGACAAGCTGCTCTGGCTGTCGATGGAACTCCTGCAGCCAGGTCCGACCCCACCACCCGTGCCTCCACCTCCACCCTCAGCCAGCGCTGCCACCGCAGCAGCCCTCTCCTCGTCCAGCATCAGACACACATCCTTCAGCTCCTGATTCTCCCGCACCACCTCCAGCTGCCGCTGCTCCAGCTCCTTCAGCTTCTGCAGGTAAATGGTCACCTCCTTCCTCATCAGGCCGGCGCTGTAGCGGCCCAGACGCTGCCACTCGCGCAGGACCCGCTTCACCTTCTGCCGGTCGTCGTCCAGGAAGCAGCAGAGATCTCGGAGCTCCTGGTTGTCCTCCTGCAGCTTCTGATTCACTTCCTGTTTTAATTCAGGGACAGAAAAGTCAGTCATAAGATGTCCGTAATTCCAGGCTTCATTCTGCTGCAGCAGCACCAGGAAGTAGCAGGAACTATTACAGTACTAGGAACTATTTGCATTTTGCTTTTACAGGGTTTGAAATGCAACCAGTCAGCGTAAAAAAAAGAATTGTTTTGACTTGGGTTCTAAAATATGAGTTTCCCAGTAACATGGTTTAAATATAGATTTAATAACTGAGATCAATTCCCCAACATCACTCACAAAAAATGACCAGTTTGTCTCTCCACTGCACCACCAGTATGACCAACATTAAAACACCACATTACAGACCTATGTAGCAGCACGGAGAAGAAAAGGTACCTGTAATTAGATTACTAGTGGTAGTTAGTACTGTTGAATTAGGTAAAACGAATTTTAGGACTAAATCTTTGCTTAAATTGAACTAAAAAAAAACACCGATATATTACTGTTTTCAACAAGTGGTTCAGCTAATACTTATACAAATCAGATTCCACGAGCCACTAGGGGGAGTGAGATTACCATCCCATGTACCGGCGTCGCTGTCACCAGAAAATGGAAACCAAAATGATGTCAGTGATAGGAGAGATGACAACGTCTCATTGAACTGAGGTCAAAACTGCCAACCAATCATCTGAGGACAATCCTGTCATATTTACAGATGTGCTGATCTTTAGTTCAGGGTTGAATCTGACTTCCCTTCTGTCAGAGGTTCTACGAACATACACACAAACTTAGGAGGTAATACTAAACATTACCTGCTTAGAGTTAAGGGTCTAATATATTAGGTTCTATGAAGTTCACATTTCAACCACTGCGTCTACAAAATTCTGTAACAATGCAACGGACGAGTGGGCGCGTGCACGCGCGCGCACTCTCACCTTCAAACTCCGGATCTCCTTCAGGTGCTGCTGGAGTCTCCGGTTTACCTCCTTCATCTTGTTGCCGTGCTCCACGATCACGCTCCTCTTCTCCGCCTCTGACCTGCGCAGCCTCCTCACCAACTCCTCTTTGCTCCACTTCAGCAGCTGTTCGTCTCGGATTTTGGAGATGTCGTCCTCCTTCTCCTCCACCACTGCTGATGCTGGAGCGCTGTCTGCGCCCCTGGACATCTGCTGCTGCTGCTGGTGATGATGATGCTGAGACCCTTTCTCCATCCTCCCAAACTCAAGTCAAGGTTTTAAAAAAATAAAAAATCACAGAACAGGACACTAGAACCAAAACTCTAATCCAGGAGCCACCGAGGACTTTCCTCCAACCTCCTCCTCCCCACAGCTGAGCTCAGTCCTCCCTAAATCTGTAAAATCACACCGCTCTTTTCTTCTTCTTCTCTTCTCCCACGCCCATGATGCAGCTCCTACATCCACCCGGTGTTTGCTGCTGCTGCTGCTGCTGCTGATGCTGCTGCTGCTGCTTCTAGATCACACCACCAGTCTTCGTACTGCTGCTGCTGCTGGATCCTTCCCGCCAGAGCATCACTGTACCCGCAGAATGATGATGAAGATGGTCGCTGCTCTGATGTCCAGCTCCGCTTCTGACCAGTCATTCACTCTACCTGAACACCGGCCGCTGGGAGGAGGACGCAGGAGGAGAAGGAGGAGGCGGTGGCTGCAGGTGAACACCGGGAGAACCAGGATGACGAGGTGCGTGTCGACAGAAACCTCTCTTGTATTTGCACATCCCCGCCTCCTCCCCTTTGTTTTGTCCTCTGCCGCCATCTGCTGTTCTTATAGATAAACTATGTGACGAGAAAATGGTAAATTACAAAGGAACATAATTCGTTGTCCTTACGTATTTGAATACTCAATTAATATTATATATTTATAGAAGACAAAATGTTAATGTATGCTGTAGCGCAGTAAGAGAGCACAAAAAATGTAATGCCACTAAGAACCACGCGATGGCAACAATGGACCGTATAAAATTTAAAAAAAAATATTTTGGGTGTTTTCTCTTCATGGACCCCCAGACTGAAAGAGACACAACGCGGAAATCACCTAATTAAAAATAATGTGCACAGTTGGATTGTCATTTAAATATACATACATACTTTATTTAAATTAACAATTAACACACAGGTGCATAAATTCATGTTTTGATTCATTGAAAAATCAGGATACAATATTAAACATCAAACAATGTAATCAACCAAAAAGTATTGTAATCCTGTGCAGTACCTCCGTCTAACCCCAAGGGTTCACAGACAAGGTCTGCACAGCCTTGGCAAGGTTGACCTCAACTGACCAGGCGTGAACTTTAAGACAGTTGTAGGTAACTCAGCTTTTATATATATATAGCTGTATAATTTATGTCTTTTGGGTTGAATTCAGAGGAAGTCAGGTCACAATTCCAGCTTAATTTAAAACTATCCTCACACTTAGTTCAAAGCCTAGAGCAACACTTTGAAGATGTGTCAGAAGTGTGAGCCCTATATGCAGTACCACACTGTGCACCTTAATATCTTTGTTCTTCACTTTACATGTTTTTACCTAAAGTCCTGTTACCGTTGCTTCTTACTATTACTGTTACTATTCAGTGGTACTTCTAGTGAAGTCATAGTACTTGTAAGTATATAATAGAGAAGTCATAGTACTTGTAAGTATATAATATAATTTCTATAGTTAAATAGTTATATTTCTTCACGTAAACTTCTCATCTTTTCATCTATTCAGTGGCTGTTAAATATGATGAATCACTGAAGTCTGTTTTCTGATTGATGTGAAGCAGTGACTGATGTGAAATCTTCCTACAATCTCAGCCTCCTCCCTCCTCAGCTCTCCTCTGTCTTCTGCCTCTCGTCACCTCCCCATTCGCCTTCAGGCTGAGTGTAAATCTGTCCTCCCTCCTCCTCCCTCTGCTCCTCCTTCCCCTCCTCCTCCTCCTCTCTCCTGTAGCTAACTGCCACACCTCCTCCTCCTTCTCTCAGGACCCTAAATGCTTCTGGAACCTGGCCCCATTCACTCACCCAGCTGGTGGAAAACACACACACACAGACACAGACACTGACACACGCTCCGTGGACAGACAGTCCAGCACGTGAGGACAGGCACAGATACAATGACCCGAGGAGAGGACGTCCACGGCTGGGAATCTTCCAAGGATGGACTGAACTTCAAGGAAAAATAAACATTTCAGCAAATATGAGGAACATCTGAGGATTCTTCTCCTCTTTTTACCAACCGACTTCACTCCGAACATCAGGGATTATTGACACCAACATGAGCACGAAGAAGAAGAAAAGTGGACTGGTCATCAGCTGGCACAGGTCCATCTCCATTCTGGCTCCGTGGAGAAAAGGTACAGTCCGTTTCATGAGAAACAAAACTGTTACGACTATTGGAAAATTGAAAGTGAAAAAATACAACATGATCGTAGACTTTGAAATTTCACACACAAATGTATTTCAAAGGTACAGTAGCTCTGCTAACAGAACAGCATCAATAACATGACTAAGACACTAAGAAAAAGTTAAAGTCACACAGACTAGCCTAAAATATCAGCCAAAAGTCAGATGTAAATATTACTTGAAACCTTAAAACTATTAATTCAAGTCTAGACACAGAATTAGTGGAATATTATACCAAATACATCAAGGATGTCAAGAATTAACAATACACAACTTCACATATAAAACATGCACATTTATCAGATGGAAAGACCAAGACACAAATCTCTACACTGTCCACTGACCACTGTTGTTGCCTGGGGTCAAAGGCTGTCTGTAGACCTCTGTAGTCTGTAGACCTGCCCTCTGGGGTTACAAGTCTGTGGTGTGTGTCTGGGAGTTTCACAGCATCAGTGGCACAGGATTCAGGTTTTTTTTTTCTCATTCAGTAAAAGTTTAATTAAATTCTCGCGGCTGCAAATTGAGTTTTCTTTCTACACAGCAAACGCAGTAAACACATAAGAGAAACCCAAACCAACTTTTGAAGACCTGATTATCTTGTTTTCATCTTCTCCCTGCACCGTACCGCAGCATTTTTTGGTGTGCTCGTATAAATTTAATTTGAAGAGCTGTCTGGTCGTGACGACGGAGCTGCTCCACCTTCTCCGTGTCTGTTTTAACGACAGAGAAGCAGCTACCAAAGAAGGAGGACAAGAGTCAGGTCTCCCCTAAACCAAACTCCATAGAGAAAATCAGCACTTTTAGCCTCAGTGGTTACAGACGTTATTATTCCACTGATGCCTCACTTTTCAAATGTAAGCAACTAATATTAGATTGAAACAATTAACACTGAGCTCACATGAGAATAAGTTTGATGTTTTTCTGGGAAGCAGACAAGTATTAGCAAAACCTAAACCCCTCCAGTGTAAAAATGATTTATTATTATTATTATTTTCTTTGGTCTCCACCGGCTCCTGTCCCTTCAGCTGCTTGATGCTCACCATAATATGCATCAGCTGTTTTCTACCCGTGGCTGTGTGCAGCAGCGTTATTATTCAGAGACGCTCTAAAGTAAAGCAGCTGTTCTCAGCTGAGTGTGGTGAGACTAAACCAAACAATTTGTAAATACAAAAAGAGCTTAAAATGGCAGAATTATGTGCTAAACATTTTATGTGGGTGTGTGGGGTTTATGTTATTGTTATCCAGAAAACATGTTAACGTCATGAACAGTTATTTTGAAATGAAACCACTACTTGAAATCTGCACTGATGTTAAAACTTGTTAAAAGTTTGTGGTCAGTGAAATCAAAACAATGAACCAAACCAGACTGAACCCAGAGAGAAAATCACAAACTGGGGCGTTTTGATCCGTCAGACAGAGATTTAAACGTTTAAAACATTCAGATTGAACAAACATGGTAGAACAACAGTTCTTGAACAACAGTTCCAAGTTCCTGCTAACTAAAAAATATGAGTAGTAAAAGGAACAGTTTTAAGTTGGTGTTTAACTTTGAACATTTTTATTGTTTCACATGAAATTACATTTTAAAAATATAATAATTTCACAATGAAGATGTAATTGATAAGTTAAAATGTTTTTTTTCACTGGGCCCAGATTGCTGTGTAACAACATGTTGAGACTCTGATTTGACGCATTGTTGACAATATAATTGGTTTAAATGACATGTAAATGTCAACCTGGGCCCAGATCGCTGTGTAACAACATGTTGAGACTCTGAGTAGAAATGAAAATGTTCTTTATTTTTTACAGTGCAGGCCAACACACCTGCTGAGCAGCAGATCCTGCAGTCAGTTTACAGCAGGAGCATTGATGAGTCTGCTCATTGTTGAGGCTGGTATAGAGCGACTCACGCTGTTCACCACAGCAGTTCACTGTGCAGCAGAAGAAGACCACCTTGATGACGACCACACTTGGTTCACGGCTGGTTCTGTCACGTTTTGTTGTGGTTTAAAATTCAATGACTTAAAAAAAAAACTCTACTAAAGTGCTGGACACAAAGCGGTCCTTTTTAGTTGGTGATTAACAGTTGAAAAATGTAAAGGTGAGGCAGAGGCCAGAGTCTATACTGACCCAGGCTGTAGGACTCAGACGTGAGGAATTTGAGTTGTTGAGGAGAATGGAGCAGTAAACGTGAGTAAACAAGAGCAGAATTTGACCAGTGCTTCACCTGGAACTTTGGGAGAGTTTGAGTTTACACGCTCTGTCTCCTTCATTGGCCTGTGGTCTATGTGGGACAGAGCTGGACACAGTGGGGCAGCTGTGGGGCATTCAGACAACGACCAACGCCATAAATGAAGCCCAGCACAGAGGTGTGCTGCAAGTTAGCACTAAGCAGCTAACTAGTTAGCAATTATTTGAACATAGTGGCCAGGGTGATAACTACCACAGCTGGGGTTATTTCTATATCAGTTACAACATAAATCCTTTGATCTGTTGGACTGCATGGAGGACGTATGTGGTTGTAGCCTAGTCAAACTGGACGGGCCTGGACACGCAGCTACGGAGCGTTTTGACCACGTCCAGACCATAAATGAAGAGAGCGACAGCTGCAGGCCATGAAGTGGAACGCTGCCACCTTGTTGTCTGGTTCCACTTCTGGTCCCAGTGTTTTTTTTTCTGTGATTGTCTGGCGTCGACTTCTCTGGTTCACCTGTGTGTCATCAGGTTGTGTCCTCGGCTCCTGGCATGTTTTTTAATTTCCTCCACTCTTGTTTTCTTTGGTAGTTCATGGCTGAGTTCTTATGTACTGTCTGTGGTAGTATTACACAGTGGTCTGGTACTCCACGTTCATCCTCCGCTCTCAGAGTTCTGTGTCGTCTGACTGAACACTTCACTGGTGGACCTCATCTACTGTCACTGTCCAGGCTGGATTAGAAAGAAATGAGAAGTGATAGTAGAGCCTGAGTAGAAGTCCACGCTGCTGCACATTCTTGTCTTATCTTAATGGGGTCTGATAGAACTCAGCTCAGTGGGGGGTGGGGGTGGGGGGGGGGGGTCTTGGTGTCATCCTCCAGGCTTTTACACTCCAGAACAGGAGGGTTCTCAGTCTGCCATGGTCTGACAGATGAGTCTGTTTAATGTACTGTACTACTGCATCTGTGTGTGTGTGTGTGTACAGTAGTACCTCTCCTGCTGGGGCAGAGCTGTGTTGTTGGTTTGTGTGTTTTTGGAGTAACTGTACTACAAGCATGGAATTCTAAACATTGTTGAAACTTGTTGTTTATTCAGAAAGTTGTGAAGTAAAAGCCAGAGATCTGACGTCAAAGTTTCCTCAGATTATACAGAACCGAAGAAAAGTTCTATGTTCCTTTGATACAAGAACTCATAAAGGACTTTGGTTCATTTAAATCTAACTTTTTTTTTCGTTATTGCTGAACAACGTTGAGACGTCTGGTGTCAAACACTTTCATTTTCTTTCCACCTGTGCTGCGTCTGTTTGATCACCCCCCCCACGACCCCCCGCCTCGGTGGCTGCTGTTGACCCCACAACGATTGTTGAACTTTCCCTTTAACCTGAGGGGCAGCTTGAAAATAGTTTTTTTCGTGGCCGTCTCGACCTCTGCTCCCCTTCATCACCTGCAGCTCTGAGATCTCTGACCCTCCTGACCGCAGCGTCAGCTGACTACCACCCACTGGAATCTGACTGTGATTGTGAATAGAACGGGAAACGGCTGGAGGACGTACTGAGACAGACAGGGAGGATGAGTCCTGGGGGGTGGGAGGGGGGGCACCGGTGAGGGGCTAAAGAGTAATTATATGTTTGGAGCTTAGTCAAGCCCAGAGCCTGGAAATGGGCTGAGTCAGCCTGCGGAGACAATTACAGGATAGAAACCTTGTTGGTGTTGTTTTTTTTTTAGAACAGCTGGATCAGGGCGACACCTGTCCAGCTGAAGGTGTTTGTTGGAGAGGATTATGGGTTTGTGTCAGAATAGCACGGGGTCGAATTACGCTGGTCCTATTAGGAGCAGTGACTTCAGCGTGTAATTAAAGTCAACCAGAGAGAAGAGCTGATAAAATAAAGCCTGGACTTTGGTTTACGTCGTACGCACTCGAATTCTCAGTAATTATTTCAGAAGACACGATTAGATTCTACATTCTTGGATTCATAAACACACATTCCTGAGCAGTTCTGTCAACGAAGATCCAACAGCTTCTTCTTCTTCTTCTTTCCTTTTTCGGCTGCTTCTTCTTTTCCTTCTTATTCTTCTTATATAACTGTAAAAACCCTTATATGGCTCTTAGAGGATTCCTAATGCTACTGTACCGTACATCTCGATGGGTTAGGTTAGGGTTAGGGTAAAATTAAGTTAATAAAACTAACTAAAATAGAGTTGCACGAACATTACAAACTAAAAATATTCACTAGTACAACAGGTTAATAGTTAGTTTGGTTAAACTTTCATCTGACATGGCTACATGCGATCTACAACTAGCTGATGCCGTGCACCACTAAAGCTAAGATAAGCTACTGTTAGCCTGCAAATGTAGTACTGAAACCTGTGTCTTAAGGAAAATCATTTTTGCCTCATTTTTGTTGGACTGAACTGACACCAGGAAACAAATTAAAGTTGACAGTTGGAAACTGTGAAGCTGTAGAAGTTTGGACGTCTGTGGCTCAGAACTGACCGTCCAGGTGTCTGTGACACTAAGATTTTTAACCTAATCCACTGCAGCTGCAGGAAAATGTCTCCTTTTTCACCGGCACCTGTCACCGGCACCTGTAGCTCCGTGTTTTCCATGCCGTCCTCCTGTCAGGAGCTCCGTGTTTTCCATGCCGTCCTCCTGCATCACCGCTGGTGTAATCACTGTCCATGACGTACAGTCGTTTTTGAGCCGCTGGTAAACACTCATTTAGGCTGGTGCAGTAAAGACAAAACAGACAAACGTGGCCATAACAGTGAGATCAGAGTGGAAAACAAACGGCCTCATTTGTGACATCAGTGTCCAGCTCTGCACGCAACTGACAAAAACAGGACATGTCTGTGTTTTCCTGCACAAATGGTGAATTTATTTTGGGAGTCACGTTTTTTTCAACAACATGACCCCACCACACCACGGCAAAAAGTTTTTCTAAATACTTTATACCTAAATCTGTGTATATATTGTAATTTACACAGCAGCAGATTTTAATTATCAGGTCAAATCTTAATGTTTTGAAGGTTACTGTGGCAGTAACTTTCAGCTTCAGTTGATCGTTGATCTTAAACACGTTCCCATAGTTCAGGTTATGAATTCAACATTTCCTCCAGTTCCACATCAATAATTTAGTTTACCACCGGTGTAGGTTTTCAGTCACTTCCTGCAGTTGGATGTGAAGAAGTGGCCAAGTCAAATATGAGACTTTAAATGGATCTTCTTTGAAGCACTGATACTTCTGTCCTCCCTCGGGGCCAACTGTGCCGGAGAAAATCTTCCTGTCAGGAATTTTTCCACGGAGCAGGTTGTGAGATCCACGACCGACGTGGATGATTTTGGCTGAGTTGTTGTGGACACGAAGCGAAAGCAAATACAGATCTGTACAGAGTGTGTGTGTGTGTGTGTGTTTATGGAGGTGGGCAGGATGTTGACATTTTGAAGTAGTGATTTTGTGTGACTCACACTCAGAAACAGGATATGAACTGATTGAGAAAGATAATCTAAGGGCGTGTTACACTAATTTCACAGGAAATGTAGAAAATTCCAAAATCAGTGGTACTACGCCCTGAGGGCTGGCTGTGAACCAGAGGTTGACCCACACGTTTTCATGGCCTTTATATTGAGATACAGTTGCACTGTTAAACTATCAAAACTACGGCTGTGCTCTGCTAGTTATCTGCTCACGGGTTGTTAGTCTAATTACCCCGGCTCACACTACTGGTCACTGCCAGTGGTCTGAGGCAGCCATTTTGTCTGTGGCTGTTTGGGTTAACTGGCTGTTGGTCAACTGGTTAGTTGCCACTGACAACCACTGCACCGGTCTACACATTATCCAAATAACTTGAAAATCAGTTTTTATGGGTAAAACAAAAAAACGTTCTTTAGTTTAGGACCAAATGGAGACACTAAGAAAACAGTTTCCAACTCCGTCTCTTCAGCCCGTTTAAATGAGCGCTCCACTCTTTTATTCTGAGTTGATCTTTATTTGAGAAAACTCCATCAAACTCCAGCAGCGTGATTTAGAATTCTTTCAGTGGAGTGGACCACCGCTGTTCTACTCTGAGAAGGACCCTTGACTTTAATCAGGACCCCCACGTCTGCCCTCCTTCAACTTTAAATTTGAAGCTCAGAAGGCTGGGAATTGTGATTTGATTGGCAGCTGGACGGATCAGATTTCGTACACGGAGAAAGTGGAGAGGACGTTGGTTGGACAGTTGTCTGTCTCAGTCCTAACGTCAGCTCCAGATCAAAGCTGGACTCTCCAGGTCCAGGACAATGACAAACTATGTGGCTCCTGAGATATTTCTGCTGTAGCACATAAACACCAGTCACTCAGGCATGTGGTCATTTCACCGTCCCTGCTCCCTGTGATGGTGCACGGGGGCCATTAGTCGTCCAAAGACCTGGACCAGGACCAGAGCCGCTTGATGGGATGTTTGAAATACCTGCACTTCCACATTGTTCACAAAAACCCTGAGAAAATGATTCATAGCTGTGCATCAGATCTGCTGTTATATAATTTGGCTGATGTTCAAAGGGTTAAGTGAAGGAAAGCCACATTCTGGCAGACTTGAGGTGCACTTTGTGCACTTGAACTTGGCAAAAGCGCCGGAATTTCCAGGTCTTTTGTTTAGTTAGGAGAGACTTTTGAGAATCTGTGTGAAAATATTTCCAGCAGCCTGTTAGGAGGCTTTTAGGAACTAAAAAACACTGGATTCAATATTTGGTTGTTTTGTCTTGTTTTTATTATTTAAGAACATTCTTGGTTTATGGACAAAAATAAACAAAAAAAACTAAATTAAAATATAAATGTGACAGGTCTTAGAAAATACATAAGGTGAAAGGTTCTGTGAAAAATAGAATTAATATTTATTTATGAAAATAATATTTTTTCTCTGCATATCCTCAGGTGGCTTTGGCACAAATTCAAATTCACAACATCTAAAAACTCAGTGCATATCCTCAGGTGCACAAATTCACAACATCTAAAAACTCAGTGAAACCATTTGAAATTCTCAACTCTGCCAATCTTTCCACTCACCCTGGTGTTTTCTTCGTCTTCTCGTAGGTAAAGGAGACAGAGACGCCGTCTTAGAAACTGAGGTGGTCCTCACCAAACTCAAGTTCTTCAGCAGCTTTCAGGACAAAGTCCTCGCGTCTAGTGACTGTGCAGCCGACAACCAAACAGTTTCCACTTCAGAGCAGGACGGATCGGACCTCACCATGGTCCATGAGACGGATTCACATCTGAACGACAACTCCGTACCTCCTCAAACAGGGACAGACTTTCTGCCTGTCGTCTTTTCAAACTCCCATTTGCCAAGGTTGTATAAGTTTGAGTCTGAGGACTCTGGTGTGGACCTGCCCAGTGGAGCCAACTCTCCGTCCACACCCATGGGTTCTGAGCAGAGCTTCGTGGTCCACAGTCGTGAGTCGTCCTGCCATTCCTGCAACCTGAACTCAGACACGACCGTTCTCCCAGAGGAGCTGGTCAAACAAGCACAGGACTGTGAGACACAGGATCCCAAACATCCTCAGGACAATATCTCAGTACATTCAGTAGAATTCTGTTCGTCACCAGAACTTCACATGGACAAAGATGGAGAAGGAGAGCAGCACGGACCTTCAGGTAATACCCCTGAGGAACACAAGGAGGTGTCTGAGCAGGTTGAGGAAACCAGAGTTTCACCTGAGAAGACCTGCCCAGAGGAAAACAGTGTGGAAAAACAGTCGTTATCAGAAACCAAGGCTGACGTGAACGGCAGCGAGCCAGAGTCCAGGAGGAGGAGGAGGAGCAGTACGAGCGAAGGTCTGGAGGAGTACATGGAGGAATGCTGCAGACTGAGTCAGGTATGTCAACAAACATCTCGTCTTCTCCTCTTTGGTAAATCCATACCATGTGAAGGCCTTACAAAAAAAATCTATATTTTTATCTGTTTTCCTGCTTTGGTGCTGCATTAACTCCACTAAACCAAATGTGAATACGTGGGTAAATATGATTGGTCCGTCTGGAACAGGACAACTACACCTGTACCCAGTCCTGAGGTCCTGCACCGACACACTTCATTCATGTCACAGTGAAATAAAGGCGTCTTTTACTTCACATCCAAAATGATGAAGATCAAAGTAGGTTTTTCACTGAGACCCAAAGAAGGAAGCAGCAGCTGACAGCTGTGGAGGCTGCAGAGTCAGAATCACCTGTCTTCAGACGTTCCTGGAAACTTCAGAGTCATCCTCCAGGTCGGTCTGTCAGTGCTGGCTGTTATTAGCACGACAGACTCGTGTAGCCTTCAATTTTAGAACCAGAGTGACAAAGTAACTGCCTTTCCCAAGGAAAAAAAAATCAAAGTTTGTGTCTTTGGTAAAGCTCTCGCTTTCACATAGAGAAAATCATCATTTTTGGCCTCTGGTGCTTCACAAACCACAGGTGTCGGTCAGGATTATTCAAACAGGTAGGTAAGTATAGGACTTTGGTCCTGGAGAAAAACCTACTTCAAACACTGAGGCTGTTTAAAGACAGATCACTTCAGTTCCTTGTAGCTTCTTCATCAATAACTTCATCAATAAGTTCTTTCTTCCTAGAATCAATGATTTTCTCCATGGAATTTGGGTTGAGCTAAAATCACTGATTTTTTTTCTTTGGACTTTGGAACAGGAGAATAACAGAGAGTTTACAGTTTTAACAAGTCAAACCCTGAAGTCTGACTTCAAACCCATAATGTATGAAACACATTTCAAAGGTGTTCAGGCTTTAAAGGACTTCACGACATTAAAAATAATCATCATATCAACCTGGGGCCATGTTTGTAGACAGGCATTCATTTCTGCCGCCACCAAAAACATGAAAGCCCTCAGTGTGTGTGTGTGTGTGTGTGTGTGTGTCCATAAAGAAGTTTGTTCCTCAGGAACCCACATGTCACGCAGCACCTGTTCATCTGCACTGAGATTTTTTCCAGCGATACTGTCGCTGACCGCCGGCTGCTCTCATCTGGACCCAGCTCTGTGTTCCAGGCCTGGAGCTTGGCGCTGGTCTACCTGGAGGCATCACTTAGGTGTCAAATATCTCAAATTACTCACATTTTTACCCAGATAAAGGCCCTTTGATAGGCCCCCAGGAGACCCGGGCCGGGGCACTGTAATAGGCGTGTTTGTCGGCAGAGGCTTTTAGGAGCCCAGCATGTCAGCATGGCCGACGGGCGGCGTGCTGTTGTGGCCCCCAAACGTTAGAACCATCACTTATCACGGGAGCTAATAATGTAATACCCTTCCCTGATCAAATGGAGCGCTGCAGCCCAGCACAGGGGGGCACTAGACTCAAATATGTGTTCAGAACCTGGAAACTTTTTATTCACCAGAATGTTTCACTTTGATTTGATGTTGAGAACCTGGAACTTTTTATTCAACAGAATGTTTCACTTTGATTTGATGTTGAACTTGAACCAAAGTCCATTAAAAAAATCAGTGATTTAAGCCTCGTAGACACAGGGTCTGATGTTGTACTCTTTATTTATTCAGTAGGTTTGGCAGTAGTGGATCAGCATCTGAGTCATAATGTAAAAAAAAAGGTTTTCTTGATGAAGTTCAGTATGAGAGAGTTAAGATACAGCAAAAATAAAGTTGAAGAAGATTTAACTGTGTTATTAACTGATTAACTCAACACAGTGACTGGACAACAACAACCACCTGTGACTGAACGGATCATCATTCACAGATAATCCCAGGGACCAGATGTTGGGCCTCAACACATAGTTTTCATATCTGCAGCTGATCATCATATGGACCTGTTTAAGTCAGTCTGAGTCGGATCTCACACTCAGTGTCAGTTTTCAAGGCTTGTGTTTACGGACCTGATCAGCACCAGCGTGAAGGGAAATTAAAATAAGATGTTTTGAAATGTTCTGAAGGAGTGGAACCGTGAGTCTGAACTTCTGCTTCAACAGAAGTTCAGACTCACATTTTTGTTTTGTTTTAGTTGAAGTTTATTTTCATTTCTGGTAAATCATTTTTATTGACCTTAACTACCGTGAAAACACCAACACCGACAAACCGTGGTCTTAACCTGTTAACCTCCGTCTCAGGTCAGGACCATAACCAGACGAGAACATCCCTAAATGTGTTGTAGTTCTGGTGGACAAGTGTGGATGATCGACTTCATGGAGGTGTGTGTGTGTGTGTGTGTGTGTGTGTGCGCGCGATCGTGACCTGCGTGCTCCTTCCTCCCTTTCCTGCTGCACCGTGCACATCTGGAGCCTCATTCCATTCCCACACTGTCATCTTTAGGAAAGCTTTTAAAAATGCAGCAGAGATAATGGAAAGTAGAGCTGGAGTCAGAGGAGGTTCAGTTACCACGGTGACGCCGATGTTGTTGTCAGACCACGGACTATGACTGACAGGATCACGGATCAGATATAAATAGATAATAAAGTGCTGAACAACAATAAATGAAAATAACTAAAGACCATCGTAACCAGGTGTGAGCCTCGGCCTGAGGACCGTCTCTTTGAAGGGATTTCCAGGGATTTCCAGGGATTCCCAGCTGGGATGTGACCCTGGGTTTGACACCGACCTCACAGGATGTATTACATAACCCACCTGGGGTCTTCCTAGGATACCCCCAGAAGGACGGGTGTTCCAGGGAGGCATGGAAACTCACTTTATACTCTGAAGTTGAGCTTGTGATTGAGAAACCTCGAGCTTCAGACGATGGAAGAGTGAACAGAGAAGACGTGTTTTTACCGTCTTTCATACCAACGTGGAGACCACTGGATCAGAGTGTAAATGTCAATTCTTTTTACAACATCTTTGAAATATACCTTTGACATATATTCATGTTTTAAGGCTAACATATGTCAACTGAACGCACTGACGTTTCTCCATAGATTTTCCAAAAATGTTGGATGTGGTTTTAAGGAACTTTTTTAGCAACTATATTTGTTGTGTTTCTTTGAAAAAGATTCAAGAAATGTCTGTTAGACTCAGCATATGTGAGAGTTTCTGGAAAGATGACATAACAGTCATTCTATGGCCTTCAACATTAATAATAATAATAATAATAAAAAGCACCAAAATGAGAGAAACTCTTTTATGCCTCTGAATAAAAGATCCAGTGGTTTCTTCCACTTATCTTTTATAAAAGATCCAGTGGTTTCTTCCACTTCCATAAACTCCTGGTAGACAATAAGGAGTTTCCTGATCTGACGTCAACAGCCAACGTTTACCTCCTGAACAGAGTGTTCTGTGCCAAGACAAACACACACTGTATCTGACTGTACGTCTCCACCGTGAGCCCGTCCAACTCCTGACATCCTTGTGACCTCTGTCACTTCCACATTGCTGCCGTTTGATTCATAGGATTGGAGGAAACTGAGAGGAAGTGCAGCAGGGTGTGTGTTGATGAGCGTTCATTCATGAGGAGGTTTGTGTGCGCAAAAGGCAAAGGGGGGCAAAGGGGAGGGGATTGGAGGGCATTCCCAAATCCTAGCCTGTCTTCCTGGCTGTGGATCACTCAGTGTCTCTGTGGACTGGTGGATAAGATCAGCCTCAGCCCTGATAATGTCACCAGGCTCAGCCAGAGCGGCCTCTGTTGATGGACCACCCCCTGCCCAGCCCTTAAAGCACCCGTCAACAACTACTCCTGAGGAAGTCCGGGTCATCTCCTGCAGGACCTTATCTAAATAAACCCAGGATAAACTGCCGTAGGTCTGGAAGTCTGGATGTAGGAAAGTGTTACGGCGCCAACAGAAGAGGAATTCCACCTGACAACCACCTGACAACCACCTGACCGACCCTGTGAACCTGACTCATGTCCAATCTGACCTCGGGTTTTCTTGATCGTAGTAAATGACTCATCATCATAGAAATGTACAAATTAAAAGGTACCGTACCAGATTCAACAGATACAACTAAACTGTACTAGAACAGAACCATTACTGGTACTGGTCTTTGTTTTGGTTCTGAGTTGATAAATAACCAACATTCAACCAGGACCGTCCAAGAGGTTGACCAACCCACAGTCAACCAAATAGTTCGTTGGGTTCTATGTAAAATCGGGCTAACAGGATATTCCCACAGCTAGCGCTGCGTTGGACAGGATACCTGGACTGTTGGCCCTATGTTGGGCCTCGTCGACTTGACTGGTAGTGGTCTCTAAGAGTTGGACCACTAACAGAACAGCTGGTCCTCGTGGTTGACTGCGTCCGTCCCCAGGGCTCGGGGTCATGGTCACCACTGTGTGTGGATCACAGGAAGTTTTTTTTTTCCTCAACGGAAACATGGTGATGTCACTTCCTCTGCCTGTAACGTCTGCTTGACCATTGTTTGACCAGCATTTCCATCAGTTTGTCTTAGTGGAGTTTTACTGTGAGTTGAACAGGAAACGGGGTAAAAACAGACCCTGACCTGAGCTCACTTCCTGCTTTTGTTGGGACCCTTTTAGGAATGTCACTGAGTGGAATACTGTTGGCCTGAAACATTCGTTTTTTTCTCACGTTCTGGTGTTTTTCTGGTCTGATACTCCATCAGAAATAACTGTAAAGATGGATCTTGAATTTCTCTTAGAGTTCGTCACTTTTTAACCAGTTCAGAAACTAAAACTAACTATAGTTTGACCGGTGGAACTTAAAGTTGTGTGAGTCAATATTCCATAAATAAAATCATCACTCTGGAATCCTTCCACACAGGAGCTGTTGACACATTCTTACCATCCTCACCGATGAAGCACACGTCATGTGACTTTTGTCATTTGCAGCCATTCACTCTGATTTTCCTAAGAGTTTTTAGTAGAATTTCTGCAGAACAAGAAAGTTTGCAAAAATGGTTCTTCACTGCATAGAAAAGTTGTGGAGCTATTTCATAAAGTAGCAGAAAATTGAAGATTTTATACTCTCTGTTCTGAGACGTTAAATGTCAGGAAGAAACTTTAGAAAAATGCCGAGGCCTGAGGTGAGGTCACAGGTGATAGAACTGCAGCCCTGGACAGGAATGTAACAACTCCTTTAAAGTTGGCCTGACGTGATCGCCCTGGAAAAATGGTTCTGCTGACCTACTTTTCCAGAGAGGGCGCCGTAAGATAGAGTTCTCCGGTATCTGAGGATCAACACGTGGTGCCTGGATTTACCTGGACATGTTTGGGTTTTTTCTCTCCAGGAACAGCCAGCAGGTTCTGGGCCTCTGGGTTCTGGTCTGGGCTACCTGGGCCACATCTGCCAACTGCTGGAAAAGATCGGTCAGCTGCAGGAGACCAACCTGAAGCTGCAGAGACAGATCTGTGGTCTGCAGAAGGACAGCAGGACGACCAAGGCCAAAGAGGTAGGAGAGAGAGAGTGTGTGAGTCTGTCCTTTAGCTAACATTTAGCTAATATGATGGATATCATTTAGCATTTTTAAACATTTAGCTTTTAGTATTTTTAAAAGTCTGTTTTTTGTTTCCAAAAAAACTTCAGCCCAAACATCCAGAAGTTTTTATTATTTCCAAAGCTCGAAGCTTGTCTTTGTCCAACCCACATTTCCTGTCCCGTCCAAACTGTTTTCACAAAACAAATCAGAATTCAAGGCTTTGACAAAAGAACTTTGAGAAAATCCTGGACTGACGTTTGAGTCGGGTTTTTGGACTGAACGCTGGCTCAGTGGATGAAAGCAGCAGGAGAAAGAAGAAGAAAGAGACGACACACACACACTCACTCACACACACACACACACACTCTCTTTTTCACTCTTATCTGTTATACCCTTTTTTTATTCCACACCAAGACGCTTTAATCCACTCCGTCGTGAGGATAATAAACAGCTAACGTCCGTGTTTAGAGACAGAGGTGGACTTTAAAGAGCAGAACTGTGACTTTGACACGGACATCAAAGCTGCAGCTTCTGAGTCTGGACCAAACTGTGGCGTCTCTTTTTATTCCCTACTGTGATTTTCACCATGAAAAGGAGGAAAGAACGTTTGGTCTGAATCGCTCTCTGACTTCAGTCAATGGACTTTTCACTGGCAGTGGAAAAGTCACAGCAGGAAGTGAAGAAACACAGAAGAAGAAATGGACCATCTGCATCAGTCACTGGGGTTTTAGAAAACACTGATAAATATTATGAACAGAAACGTTGAACATTTTGGTTTAAATATTAAAAGATTAAAATTAAGATTTTTTTTTATCTGTTATACCAGAAATAGGATTTAGAGACATGTTAATGTGACTCTGGATTTATGGGAAACAAAACTGGTCCAAGACCTAATTCTGGTCTGCATGCCAGACTTTGAACACCTCACAGAAGTAAAATGACGTCCTGGTCATATCTGACCTCAGTGTGTTTCTACAGTCAGTGGTTTTCAGCAGCGCGGCGTTCACGTTCAGAGCTTCAACAGAAACAAATAAGTCGAGGAATGACCGAGGAAAACCGTCACCGTCGGTCGGACTGTGGAGAATACGTGAATGTGGGTTACATAAGGAAGCTGCACGGGTATCTGTGTGTGTGTGTGATATTGTCGTAGAGGCCCTGGAGCACCCTCGTGAAGAGGTGAAAGGTCACGGTGCTGAGCAGAGAAACAGAGGAATGTTTGGACAAAGATTGAAGGATATTAGAAAATAACTCGATCTATTTTCCCTCGGCAGCCGTCGGGGATTAATGGGAAAAATATTATTTATTACAACAGTTGTGGAGGGAAAACAGAGCCCACCCTCTCCACGTGAGCCCACTGCTGTCCTCAGACTGTAAACAGGAGTCAGAGGAGGAGGGAACGTGAGGTCACGTCTACAGGGGGCGCTAACACAACTTCACAGCTTCAAACTGAGCTCCTCAGTGGACATCCTGATGTCTTCATGTTTGGTTAAACACACACAGAGAGATTAACCAATCCTGGATCAGTTAAACTCCAGGTCTACCTGTGGTGGACTCGTCCACTTTGCCCCCTGCTGGCAGCACTGGTGCAGTTCAGTGGTTGTTGGACTTTAGTCCAGCCTTTTGTAGACAGGACCAGTTTCTGAACCATGACAAACTCTGTTCTTCTCTTCTCTTCAGGACTTCTTCCACCAACACTGCAGCTGTGGAGCAGCCAGTCTCATCTTCCAGCCCGCTCTGAAGAGACAGTCCAGAAACGACTTCCTGTCGCTCAGTGGAACCATGTCTGACCTGTCCACCATCCCGGAGGTCACCCAGCATCCTCTCACCCCAAACACAGGTGAGGATGAGGTTTGATGTGGTCGTTAAAACTTTTAAAACGTACATTTCACTTAATTAATCACAGTACAATACAACCATACATAAATATACTGTACATATATATATTTCACATAAATATATATATATATTTTACATCTTTTTCAGTTCCAACATCAGACACACTAATAAATGATGCAAACACTCCAGCTCTGCAGGTGGCAGTATTGAGCACACTGTTTAAAAGTTGATAACAATTAATCACGATTAATTCAAATAAATCAATATTCCTAAATATATAAATTATTAGCTATTTTGTAGCCCACATTTTTTGTCCAGTTCAGTCATGTTTAGCAGATTATAGCTAATATGTTAGCTTAGCATTTAGTTTAATATCCCTTTAGTTCGACTAATGAAAGCCACTGATTTGGCCAATGAGGAGCTGTTTCCAGGAACACAGCTGTCCAAATGTGTGGACACCGGTGGTGGGGGTGGGGGGGGGGGGGGGGGGGGGGGTGGCTCAGGTGAGGGACGCCTCGGCCCCTCAGGAAGGATGGAATTATGAGCCAAACTCCCGTCATCCTGGTGGGAATATGTAACGTCCTGGGAGAGTTGAAATGTTTTGGTTCGTCCTCTGACCTACAGGAAACTGGATCTGGAAGAGAGGCCGAGAAAGTGAGGAGAAAAGAGAGGTGGGGGGGGGGGTCTTAGGTCGACTGTAGCTCCATCTACAGGAGGTTTGAGGTGTTTCAAGAGGAAACAGTGTCCCTAGTGGAGAAAAACATGAAGCCTCTGACTTCAGGGGTTTTCTTATCTCCTCTGAAAGGGAGGGGGAGGGAAGGGGGCAGGGAGGGGGGGCAGGTTCTGTTGTGTTTTCATGGATGTGGGAGAGTTGAAAGTGTGTTTGTTTTCAACATCACAACAGAAGGAAAGAAAAGAAACATTTCTCTCTGAACTGGTTCAGACTCTGAGGTTTTGATGAAGTTCTTGACGACGGTCGTCAAACATCTGTCCATAACAGCAGCAGCAGCAGCAGCAGCAGCAGCAGCCAAACAACAGTGGAGCTGTTGGAAAACTGAGTGACTGTGACAGGAGTGGTTCTAATGAGACACAGACCCAGAGTCAGTTCACTCTGTCACTCTGTCAGTGGGAAGAAACAGAAACAAACATCGTGTTTAAAACTACTGTAGAAACAGCACAGGATTATGGTATTGAAAAAAAGAAAATGAATAAAAGTAAATGAGCTCCTGGTTTTGGTGTTAGTTAATTTTTAATAATTTGATATAACTTGATGTGTAGTCGATCTGTGGTGTTTGAATCAAACAGTTGGAGTTCAGTATATATGAAAGTATTTGTCTCAGTGTGCTGAAAACAAACTAACTTCTGATTCCTGAGGTCACCATGGGATCAACGTGGACTTTTCACAGTCAGAACGACCGTTTAAGGCTGGAGACCCAGACGTGGTGTGGATTTCTGGTCCACTGCTGCACCGCTCCTCTAAAACTCCTGAATTATCCCTTTAAACAGACTGCACTAAATTATTATCAAAGGCCGTGATGACTGAAGGTTCAAACCCTGAACTAACTCTCCCCCACACTGTAAGTAACTGCTGTTGGTTTCTGATTTGTGTTTCAGACTCGAGGAGCGAAGCTCTGTGGAGGAGGAGCCTGAACAGAAGGAGTTACACTGAGGGGGAGGTTCGATTCCTCGGGGACAGCACCGAGGGCCTCTCCCAGCTCCCCCAGCGCAGGGTGAGTCACGACCGCACGAATGTAGGAAGAACGTTCATCATGTGTCATGTCTAAGGTTTTCCTTTCATGTTTTTTTAACAAAAAAACAAACTTTAAATAAACAGTAGGTTTTTATACTAAACAGAATATTTGAATATTATGAAAAAAAATCAGGTTTTTATACTAAACAGAATCACCTTAAATATACGTCGTAAACAGAATTGAATTATCTGATCTTGGGCCAGATTTGTGACATCTATAGACTCCATTTGGCCCGCAGGCCAGGGGTTGAGACCCTTGCTGTAGCAGCTGAAACTAGAATAGATTCAGGTTTGAAAAAGTCACCTTCAACTTTGTTTCTCCTTCAGTTCAGCGACAACTACAACTACACCTGGGGTCGGGTCAAAGACCTGGTGAAGAGGTCAAAGGTCAGGAACCAGAGCAGACTGGGACTGGTCTCTCCATCACTGAAGATGTCCTGTCCACAGCTCTACAGGTGACGTCCTCACTCTGCTGTAAATGTTGGCAACATCACTGCCTCTCTGAGACCAAAGACTGCCCTCTTCTGGCCATCCAGTCACCAAAACATAAGGCCTGATGAGAGGAGTGTTCAACAGTCAATTAAAATTCTGTTCTTTAAACAGAAACGTGATTGAGGCAGCAGTGGAACAACAACCTGGGGAAAAAAAACAAGTGATGGAGGCAGCAGTGGAACAACAACCTGGGGGAAAATCCATGATTTGATAATGGAGTTTGGTGCATTCAAAAAAACATGTTTACTGTATTTAAAAAAAACATAGGAATTCAACAAAATCTAGTGTGACGTCAGGACACGTCTGTCTTTTGAGATTTTTTTTTTTTCTGACTTGGTTTTGTTCTCTGTTGTAGTGATGACACACCCCATGATCCTGGATTCAATTACTTGTCCTGTACAGTTTACAGTACAGTACAGTACGGTACAGTACAGTACAGTACATGATGACCACAGCAGAACAACAAACATCTGCTGATGTAGATAAAACCACACAGCAGATCAAATGTTTAATAAAACAACATTTTATTGGTCCACATCGTTGTGAAAAGAAATCAAACCACAAACAAAATGCCTCAGTTGTTGACACACGTCTGTCCCGGGGTTTGAGACATGGTCAAATGTCCAATCCTTCAACTTCTGTCTTGGTCTCTGCTCCTTTGTTTTGTCCTATTCTGAAAGAAGCTCCATCTGCTGGAGACAGAGAAAAGACAGAAGAAAAAGAACGGTAATTCTTCAGCTGCAGTGAACAAGAGTTGGTAAAAATAGAAAGAAGAAGAACATTCTCTGTGTGTGGAGGGGGGGGACGGAGGGGGGGGGGGTTGGTGGAAAATGTCATGACAGCTTCTGCTACGAGCTGCAGAAGACGTGACAGGTTCCTGGAGGCTGGGTGACAGAAGGAGAGAAGGGAAATATGCAGAAATATGAGAGCTCTGACTGGAGCTGCTGCTTCTTGGAGACTTCACACGGTGGAGGAATCTGGAGAGGAGGTGGAGTACTCTTCAGCCTCTCCCTAGTCCTGACCCGGCTTTGGCAGCAGCTCAGAAGGGGTTTCAGAGTCAGCTCTGAGGTATGAGTGGAGGAGTGGGAGACTCTGGTGGAGGATCCTTTATATTCACTGAAATATACTGTAGAAATATACTGTAGAAATATACTGTAGAAATATACTGTAGAAATATACTGTAGAAATATACTGTAGAAATATACTGTAGAAATATACTGTAGAAATATACTGTAGAAATATACTGTAGAAATATACTGTAGAAATATACTGTAGAAATATACTGTAGAAATATACTGTAGAAATATACTGTAGAAATATACTGTAAAAATATACTGTATAATACATGTATGTATCGTATAAAAACATTCATCTTTTTAAAGAATGATTATTATTATAGGAATTTCAGTGATGAAGGTGAAGAAAAGACATAGACTACAGCAAGCCTGGTGTGCGCCATCTAGTAGTTAATGTTAATGCAGAAATAATGAAGGCTAAATGAATGTGATCTTCACTGTAATTTAAATAATTTTAAAAATCTTGGCGGACCATATCCAGCGGATTGGATTAAAAATCTTGGCGGACCATATCCAGCCAGCAGGCCATGGTTTTAACATCCACAGTTGGACAGCGTAGAGAACTCAAAGACTCTTCAGCACCTCCTAGAGTCCTGACCTGGCTTTGGCTTGGGCTCAGGTTGCGGAGGTTTTTCACCTCCGAGCCTGGGGCAGAAGAAGAATCTGCCTCTGTTTTAATCTCACGCCTGCTGAGAAAACTGGCTGCGATCCAGCATTTGTCAAAAAACAACAACAGCGCCCTCCCTGCTGGGACGGCAACACTGCGCTGCTGCAGCTCCTTCTCCGACTGTGGGAATAATGGACAATAGATGTTTTCTCAAACTGCAGAACCCGGGCTGAACCTGCAAACTGATCCGACTCAGATGTTCGTCACCAATGTGGGTTTCCAATCATAACATTTTTATCTTCTTCCCACAGGCCTGATCTGGGACCAGTGGAACCTGCTGCTCACAGAAACAGGAACTCCATGATTGTTTTGGGCCACCAGAGTAAAACGGACTTCCCTTGGTCGCCATAAACACGGAGGTACTGCAGCGCAGAAACACCTGATGAAAAATACCACAGTATTTGGTTTAAACCCGAGGATCGTTTTTTGAAGGTGTGTTCTTCTGAACTCTCATCCTCAGGTCGGATATGAAGTTGTTCTGCATCGAGGAAAATCAGAGAGGAAGAGAAACTGTTTTGGAAAAGTACAAAGAAAAGATGGGAATGTGAAAATAAGAGCTGATGCTGGTGTAAGGGATGTTGATGCTGAAGGAGGAGACGGACAGAGAGAGAAGAGGACGAGGTTCTGGTGCTGGGACCTGCTGTGATGTTCTGTTGGTTCATCTACACCACGGAGGTTTGATGAAGACGCTGCAAACGTGACACATCGACGCAGCGTGAATCTGAGAACGTTCCAGTGTGAAGTACAGTCCAGCGTTGTGTAACTGCAGAGATAATGTGTCCACGTACTGTAACGCACGGCCCATACATCACATTAAACTAGGGGCTGCAGATAAGGTGGGCCACAGGGGGGCAGCCTCCCCACCAGGCTCACCGCTCGCTCTTGTGTAACAGTTGAAAATTCCAAACACTATCACTTTACTGCTGCTTAATTTCAGGAGCAGACGCTGGGATTATCCCCCTCTGTTATTCTTAATATTTCAGCTCATTAACTCGGACGAGATGTTTGACGTTTTCTTGACGTCCAGAGATTGTTCGTGACGCCTGAGGAGCTGTGATTGGCCGACTGTTCCAGTGTTACATCACCACAGATACACAGTTACAGAAAGACTGAGGTCGAACGTTCCACACTCTGACCACAGGCTGTAAAAAAAAGATTTATTAAATGTTCAGATATGCCTGACTGGGTGCAGTACCGCAGTTCACCAGCAGCTGTTAGAATGGCTGTGAAGGCTGAGAATAGTTTGTGCCAAAAATACCTCAAGAATTTAGACACAATGATCTGAAGGTGCTGCAGGATTTAACAGAACTCCATCCACTGGAAATCTAGGTTGTTTCAGACGTGGGGCGTGGCCATGAGACCCCTGCTGGAGGAAGTGTGTAGATGCTAATGAGTTTCAGGTGAGCTGGTTGACACAGCTGCAGCTGGTTGGTGTGACTGGAGTAACTCAACAGATTCTCTGTTAGTTTGTTTTCTTAAGTTTAAAGATTTTTAGCTGAGGTTTTAACAACTAAATCCCATCAACTTCAAATGAAAAACAAACAAATCAAAACAAACATGGCCGCTCCTGACCTCAACAGTAAGTCAACTCTAAGAAATAATAACAGGTGTGTGTCTGTGTTTGTCACAGATTCTGACTCAGATATTAGAAATGTTCAGCTGTTCTCTGTAGTCATGTGGTGATGTTCAACATTTATGGCTAAAATTGGCAGTTCCTGAGTTTTAGCCTCATTTTGACGACAGTTCTTTTGTGTGACCTTTGGTTGACAACTTTAGAAAAAGAAAATTCCAAGAGCAGAGCTGGTTTCATATGGATACAACGGGGGGTTCGGGGGGGGGGCTTTTTGGTACGATTCAAACCAACACTAAGTTTAATGTTTTTTTCAACTGTCAGTCACTTCTACTGGTGATTGTTCTACGTCTTGTCCACAGTTAACAGTTCAAGTCAAGGCTTCCACCACAGTGTTGTGTAAAAGCCTGTCGATCCGCAGCACTGACGGTGGTTTTGTTTTCCATTAAAAAATAACTGCTGCTGACTTTGGTTCCCGCTGAGGTTTATGCGGGAAAACCAGTTTTATGACTTTTTCTGCTGATGACAGAGAAAACCTTTAGTCTGAAGCTGTGATACAGCCTGGTTAGAATAACGGTGGTAAAATACGAGGATGAACAAAGAGTTCACAGCTGCATCCAGTTGACTGTTGTGGTTTACCTTCTGTTTTCCTCTACATGGGATCAATATTAACAAAAACATGTTTTTATTAAAGAAAATGTATAAAAGTTGTGTTTGACTTTGTACCTAAACAAAGAGACCTGGAAAAGTGTTTTTGTGAATGTGAATATAATTATATGAACTTCAAGGTAGTGATGCTTCTGTGATATTGTTGTGACAGATTTTCATTATAAGATTATACTTTACTCCAGAGGTTTAATAAATACCTAGACTGTGTATCATTCAGTTTAAAAGGGCAGAGTTTTGTTGAGGTTTTTTTTTATTATTCTGTTGTAAATACAGTGATGTTTATCTATATGATGTCAAACAGCAGTATGTGTTTTATATGTGCAGCATTTTTGTTAAAGTGTATTTTTTAAAAATAAATTTGGAGACAAGTATATAATTGTTGTGCATTTGCATTTTTAATTTAGCACTTAGCTAATCCTAGGTGGTTGTTCATATCTAACTATTTAATTGAGCTATTGTCAGTTTTAAGCATAAGTGGGTTTGTTATTTTGGGATTTATTTTACATGTTTGTTTTTTTTAATTCTTTGACTGACTTCTAGCCATTTTGAGAACATTGTTAGTTTTTGAAGTTTTTGAAGCTAAGGTTCAACAAGGTTGGTTAAGGTTTTTAGTTCTGTAGATCAGAAGTTCTGTGTAGGAGACGACTCCCTCAAATGAAATGTTCTCTCTCAGTGAATCTTACATTACAATAAATCACATTATGGCCTTAACGTGATGTTGCAGATTATTAGACAGTGATGTTGACGGAGATCAGAAGTTCTGTGTAGGAGACCACTCCCTCAAATGAAATGTTCTCTCTCACATCTAGGATGGCTGCATACCATTTAGATGCATCACATCCCCATTGTTCTGTGAGTGCCAACCAGTCTTTATTTCATGACGGACGACACCTGGAGTTTTTCTGACTGCTTTAAACTAAAGTCAGGTTCAGATCCTGTCAGATCCAGTTTTCATGAGTCAGTAGTTCAACAGCTGTAACCGACTGATTCATTCCACATGCTGTCGCACTGTTCAGTTTCTGTGTTGACGTTAAACCTTCCCTAGACTTCACTGACCTCGTGTGGCCCAAAGTGGTAACTACAACTGCTACCTCCTCCAAGTCTTTAAACATTCTTCTTTCAAACCTAGAACGGTGTGACGTATGTAGATGTTCAGATTTTAATTTTTTTTTTTATATTTTAACATTTAATTAAGTCTCTTACTTATATACATATATATCATATATATATATATGACCCACCAGAGCTCAGAGGAGTCGTCTTCTGCTGTTGCTTGCAGATAAAATGATGCGTCTCTTCAAAAGTCTTTGTCCCAGCCAGACAGTTCCTCAGGAACCTCTTCTGTGTCTGGAGGAAACAGGTCAAAGTGACTGTAATCTAAAGGTCCTTTCACCTGTGGAGATGGAAAAGAGACACTGACTTAGAATCAAACATTTTGAGCAGATGGTTTTACTGCAGGACTATAATTTATGTAGTGCCTGTAAGTTGTTCATAAAACGTCTTCACCTCAGTCTTCAGTGGAGACGACAGCTTGTGGTGTCTCAGCCCCTCCCAGTTAAATCCTCTGAACCACCTACAGCATAGGTAGAAAAAAAAAAAGTTTGATCCAAGTTTGGAAACAATTCACCAGTGACCAAGGAAATTCAACTGTGCTAATATTTTATTTAGGTGTTGGGTGTTTTTACAGTAGCTAGAAGGGCAGACTAGCTGAAGTATGAACTCACTTGTGTTTCTTTATGTCGACGATGCCTCCCTTTCTGTTTCCTAATCTCTCCACTGGATTAAACCTGAGGGAGAAAAACAAAAACTCTGTGACGAGTCCTTAAAACTACGCAGTGGTTTAAAATTTGTGCAACGGGAAAAAACCTGCAGAGTCTCCTGATGAGGTCATCTGGTCTTTTGCTGATCCTCCTTGGGAAGTCTATCTTCTCAATGCCATGGAGGATCATGGTGTAAATCCTAATGTGGTCCGAGCCAGAAAATGGAGGACTGTAAGAAAGACAGGGTTTTTGTTTGTTTTTTTAACTTCTGTGTATCTGTTTGGTCCTTACAGATAAAGTTAGTTGTTTTAGTTGAGTTGTGGATTTCTAACTTACCTGCCAGTGAGCAGTTCAAATATAAGAATTCCCAAGGACCAGCAGTCGGCTCCAAAGTCATGGCCTTTGTTCATGATCACCTCTGGGGCCAAGTACTCTGGGGTTCCACAGAAAGTCCAGGTCTTCTTTCCCAGACCAATCTTTTTAGCAAAGCCAAAGTCTGCCTGAGGGTTTGGATTGAAATCTCAGGTAAAAGACACATTTATACCAGATGATATTAACTAACTAGTTACTAACCATTTTGACGTAACCCTCAGTGTCCAGCAGCAGGTTTTCAGGTTTTAGGTCTCTGAAGATAATGCCCATGGTGTGGAGGTAATCAAAGGCCTCTAAGACACAGCCGGTGCAGAACCTGGCAGTGGGTTCATCAAAATAACCCCTTTGGATACAAACATATAAAACATATAAAACCAACAATGATAAAAGTATAAACATTGAATGTGTTCATTTAAACTTTTCAGTGGGATTTTAATAGATTTATAAATGACAGGATCTTTTTTCTTGCTTTTTTTTTTTTGTAATTTTTGTAATTGATAGAAAAACAATGACTCACATGTCCCGCAGCACGGTCCACAGCTCACCTCCAAGACAAACCTCCAGGAGCATGTAGACAAACCTACTGTCCCGAAATGTACGGAATAATCTGTGAACAACGTCGATTTGTCAAAGGTAGTTACGGTTAAGAGAAACATTTTCAATAAATCAACCAATTTAATGTATTTAAATATTCCTGGGTCGAGTGGTTCTGTCTTTGAAGCCACTTGTTAAGACTGGCTTTAATTAAGAGCCTTCTCTGATTATATTTGAATTTGAATTTTCTTTCATCTGATTTGTTTGGTTTTTTTTCAACATTCATAATTGCATTTTTAGTACGGGGCAAAGCTTATCTCACCAGGTTATTAAGGCTCACAGCGTTTATATTCTAGGGCAGTGTTTGTTTTTTTTTACCACACCATCCTTAAATCCACCTTGTAATCAGTGAAGGTGGTGTTATGAAGCCAGTTTGTCGGAGTATTTATTTACCTGTCCTTGATAACTAACAGACAACTTAAACAACGAGTTTTGTTCTTTAAAAGTCAAGTTACAGATAAATCTCTGCAGCAGTGACACCTGGTGGGGAGACATTCTCCGCAGCCGGTTGCCTAGGAACCTGACTAGAACCAAACGGCTGAGTGTTTAAATAAATGCCCAGAGTTGAGCATCGATGTGAAGTCAAAGGTTCCATCAGAACTCATGGAGGAGAACGTTCTGCTCTACCTTATGATAAACTCAGACTTTATTTCCTGCAGGATGTTCTTCTCAGAGTAGATGTGCTCCTGCTGATTGGTGTCCACTATGTGCTTCTTCTTAATGCACTTCAGAGCAAAGGTGGTGTCTTCGTCCTTCAGCTTCACCTGAAGAACAGGAGCTCAGTGAGGAGGAAACCGAAAGACGACGACAACCATTTCCTGCAGTTGGGTGGAGAACCTCACCAGCTCCACTCGTCCAAATCCCCCACTGCCCAGAGTGGCCACGATCTCCAGCTGCTGGAAAGGCTGGTGTTGAGGCAGTAGAGCGATCTTCTCTCTAAGCCTTCTCATCTCCTGAGCCTCCACAGAGTCCAGCTGAGGTGAGTAGGCCCTGGAGAACAGGTGACCTGTTGTTACTGCAACACTGAGGTCAGTAAGAGGTGCAATAATGTTTGGTTGTTTGTTGTTCACTCACAGAGCGTTTCTCCTCTGGTCGCTCCTGGAAAGCTCCTTGACGTATTCCTTCAAGTAAGCCTGAAGTTCCTCGTACGTTCCAACGATCTGGTTGAAATTGCTGCAGAGAAAAGGACGAAAAGAAAAAAACAGCAACGGTAAGAACACTTCAATCACTAAGAAAAAACAACTCATCTTACTGTAGCTGTAACAGAAGTAAATGACATGATCACCACGACAACCGTAGATGCCACCGTCACCTCTACACTGCAGTGAGGTGACGTGGTCCAGGTCAGATCTACTCACTCTCTGTCCACCACCAGGCAGTGTGTGTCGTTCTGGTTGGACACAATGTTGGCAGAGCGCACATCTTCACTGTGAACAAACACAAGAGTAAGAAACCGACGCAGGCTCAGAGGCTAGGTGGCATTTTGATATCCTAACTGACTCAGTTAGCTGAAAGTTCAAAGTCTACAACCTGATCAAAGCCTTCTCTCCAAAATAATCTCCGACCGTCAGCGTCTTGATTTCCTGCGGTTCAATAAACCCCTCTGTGCTCTGAGTGACTATCACCTGGAGACACAAAACATTACAATCATTTGTTTTACAGTTTCAGACTATACTCCCTGACCCCTGACCCCTCAAACCACGTTGGTCTCCAGCCCGCTGACCCCTGACCCCCCTCAAACCACGTTGGTCTCCAGCCCTTAGTTTAGACCTAAGTCAACCTCACCTCTCCTTTAGCTATGATGAAGAAAGTGTTTCCCTCTTCACCTTCTCGTATGATGTACTCTCCTTTTTCAAAACAGTCCTGCGGAGAAGTAAAGGTCATCACTGTAGTTTGTCTGAAAGTATTTGTCCTTGTCAGAAACAATACAAGTGTGTGGGCTGCAGAAATACTGTGTTAAAACTCACTACTTCAAGACAGTCAACAATCTTGGCAAGTTTCTCCTCTGGGAGGTCACGGAGCAGCGGAACACTGGGAGGAGAACACACAAGTGAACATGACTGACGTTGATGATTCAGGAGGAATGATGACATTAGAGGGCAGCCTTTGGTCTAGTGGTTGGAGGGAATGTGCTTGTTGGAGGTTTGAATCCTGTCTGGCTGGGTATGGTGTGTTGAGCAAGAACCAGTGCTAACCTTAGTTAAGGTTAGTGTTAGTTACTGTTGTTAATTCAACACCTCTGTCTCTGTTCTGTGAAACACTGCTGTGAGTCTGGAATCTGTTTTTCCTCTTGAAAGGTTTCACTGTCGCTGCCTCTGACAGGTTGTCTCCAGGCTGTGTCTTTTAATTGAGGTCACATGGGATGAATGTCATGACGTGAACCAAGCTGACACAGAGTTGACGGTGAGCAGAGAACACGCTGTTCAAACAGGCGCTGTTTTAATGACATTATTGTGTAAAAATCATCTGTCAGTGTGAGGAGACACGGAGACTCCGTTTGTCTGAGTCTGTACCTGCGCAGGAAGCAGAAATATTCCTCATGTCTGGCCTGCGTGGTCTGCATCATGATGGTCTGGAAAGTGTGACGGTCCAGGGCCCAGATGTGAGACTGGGACACGGCTGAATGAGAGTGGAAATATCAGTGATTATTATATTTACATCTATATTTATTTGTTTTATCAAAGATAGATTTGGAACAAAAATATAAATAATTTCAACCACGCTTTAAAAAATAATGTTTTCATACAAGAGATAATGTCAGAATCATGTTTTCATACAAGAGATAATGTCAGAATGTTTTCAGTTTTGTCTTTTTTCAAAAATATATTTAATTTCCTAAATCCAATATTTTGATTGTATTTGTTTTTGCAAAGTTATATATAAACTTATTTACTACTTGGCTGAGAAAAGAAATAACAAAGTGTTTGTTCTGCTCCAGTTTTTTCCTGACTGACATCACACAGCTGTGACTGGTGCAGCTCCGTCTTTCTTTTTCTTTCCTTCAGTAACGATGTTGTTGTTGTTGAACTTGACTCGGTCGTGGTTGTCAAACATTATCACCACTGGGGAGTTTATTTTTTATGTATACAGTGTGTTAAGCTGACAGGAAGTGTAGTGTGATCCTCATCATCGTCTTCATCACCTGTCACTCACCCTTCACCGTAGCTGTTCTCTTGCAGTTATACAGTATGGCCAGTTCTCCAAAGGCTGTACCTGGACGCATCTCCCCGAGCATCTTACCACTCTGCACCACCTGCAGTAAACCCTCTGGTGTTAGGAGGAAACACAAAAGGCACCGATTTTAATCTGTCAGTACAAAAATATATATTCTATATATAATTGTAAAAAAATTCCCTTGGACTGTATTCATATGGTAGTGACACGTGGTGACGTCCACCTGAGCCACATTCTGTGTGTGGACCGTTGTATTGTGTCAGACTGACCGGCCAGGACGTAGAGGTAGTTTCCAGGCTCCCCCTCCTGGATGACCAGCTGCCCCTTGGTGTAAACCTTCTCGTACATACTCTCCATCATCTCCCTCATGTGCTGAGGCTCCAGTCTCTTCAGAAAGTCGTTGTTTGCGATGGCGTCGTTGATGAGTTTCTTTGTGCTGAGAGCAAAACAACAACGAGGTTTAACTCGGTTTGTGCTGCAACTAAACATCAACCTTAAATAATGTTGTTTACTCAAGGCTGATATTTACTGTATAAGGATCATGTCTTATTGTCTATAATTCCTATACCAAAATCCAAAGTTTTTATTTTAGTTCCTGCTTCCGCTTTTACTGCTTTAAAATAAATATAATAATCTTTGTTGGCTGTCATGTTTCCAACGTTGGGACGTATCTGTGACTGGGATCGTCTGTGGCCACAGGATGTTTTTTATTGGCTGTTGGAGACGCCACACAAATACAATCATGCACATTTATGACTCCATTGTACACCTCTCTGAGCATCCCTGATTAGCACATCACACATATTGTGATTTCTCAATGTGCTAGTGCATTCTGGGAAACGGAGCAGGCTGATTGAATGACATAAGTGTGTGTGTGTGGGGGGGTGTTAGTGTTGGTGTTAGTGTTATAGATGGAGCAGCAGAGGTTGTGTAAGTGACACCCAGATTGGCTGGGACACATTAAGATGCTGTGGCTCTTTGTTTGCCCCAGTGTTGTTTTATTATCCAATCATGGTAATTATGCCTTTGAAAAACGGCTCTTACGAACGTCCTGTTTGTAATAGTGTCGATATAACTGGTTAAAGAAGGAAAACCAGACAGTGTTAGATACTGTTTCATGGCAGACAACTGGGAGTGTGTGTGTGTGTGGTGGAAACTGCCCCTGAGGCAGAAGTTTGAGACAGAGGTTGTTTTAAAGTGTCAGTTGATAATCAGACTATGTCAGTGGTTGGTAAACCCACAGTTACCAGCTACTACTATTCTGTTTAATTCATTTTTCTAAGACGTGGTCTGCCTTACTGTGAGTCCTTGTGGACCATCTTCACAGTGACGTTCTGCTCTGCCCTCAGTCCTGGGCAGAAGTTCTCTGAGGTGGGCTCTGCAGAGACTCCTTCCTTGGCCTTTAGTCTGCGGTGGACCTCCACGGCCACCTGGTGGAAGCGGCCGGAACCTTGGTTGATGACACTGAAGAAGTCATTGCTGCGGTGACATCGCATGGGTGGAGATCGGCCCAGAATGGTGTTGTTGTAGCCTATGGCGTCCTCCAGCTTGTCGATCTGGAGGACCTTGGCCTCCAGTTCTTTCTGCAGTTGCTGCAACCGATGTGTCTGAGCTCGAAACTCTTGGTCTCGTTGAGCAAGTGCGGCTTCGAGATTAGCAATCCGCAATCTAAAGAGAAAGCCCAGTTAAGTCTTCTCTAGTAGAAAATAAAACCTTTGAAACATTAGGGTGTACAGTGGGTGTGTGATTTGTGGCCCACCTGAGGGCCTTTGTGTCCAGAGCAGGAACTTTGTTCACAGAGGCCAGGCAGTTGTTCTCCTCAACCCCGGTGGCTTTTATCGAACCGTTGCCCATGGCTGAGAACCGAATGACCACCATAGGAATGGACCAGGAGGCAACTCCACCTCAAAGATGTTTTTTGTGGACAGAGAGCTGTCTCCTGTCACTGCTGTCTGAATTCTAAATGAGTCAAAATTGACAAAAATAATTTAATTTAATGTAATAAATATTACTGTATAGCACACAATGTGCATCTTGATAATTAATAACAAATATTTAATGGTAGAAAAACAAGTAAAAAACGATTAAATATGTCGCATAAAACACACTGTTCTCAAATAAAATGCTCAACAGTTGAAAGTTCCACAAACCAAAAAAATATCATTTTAAAGTAGAAAAATATTAAAATTCAGCGGGTAAAAAAACTTTGACCTAGCCCTACAACTTTAAATTGCTAAAAGTTCGCCATATTAGCCATATGGTAAAATTAAAGCTCGGTAATTAACACAGAATTAGCTGAAAACTAACTTCAGCTAATAATTTAGCTCTTAATTACCGTATGTAGAAAAAAGCTAAAAGGCTACAGAGAGTCAAACTTAACTTTAAATTGAGAATATTGAGATAAATTAGCTATAAAAATAGACGTCAAATATAACTTAGTTCTAAGTTGGTTAAAACGATCAAACAACCGTAACAAGAATAGCAAAGAAGGAAGCTACGTCCAACAAAAATAAAGAAATGTTTTATTTTTTGACTCTGTGTTCAACTTAGCTTCCTACATTGAAAAACTTTTTAAAAAAGTAAAACTACGTACAATTTCTGTCTTTTCTTAAACGCTGCGAGTTGTTATCTTCGTATTAAAAACAATCAAACGTACAGACTTAAAAGTGCCATCAACACAACAAATAGACATTATTACGTCACTACACGTTTTAAACTACAATATAGTCCTACAGTTGGATTTTATCGTATACTCTTCTCACATAAAAAAAGGAATTTAATATTCACCTACTCACAACTGTGCGGAAGCGGAGCAAAAGTTGTTTCATGAATTTTTTTTTTTTTTTTTTTTTTTAAGATAATCGTATATAAAACAGGTGCTGTAGTGCTATAGTCCTGGAACAGAACTGATCTGGTTCTCGTTCTGCTTCTCCAGCAGCTGCATCGTAGCCCGTTGCCAGGCACGAGCACAATGACCCTCATCTGTTAAAGCTCTCTGTTCTGAGAGGGTCTGCTGATGAAATTCAAACACTTGGCTGCCCCTTGTGGGCTTTGTGAGACTGACAGAGAGGAGATGTATGACGTTAATTACTGTAGAGAAAGAAAAAAACAAAACAAGCAAGATCGTACTGCAGTAATACCTGACAAGTTTGATATATGTTGTGTTTTTATGTACCTATAAGTATTCTTCTCTGTGTTTTCTCACTCCTACTGGTTTTATGCTGTATATGTCAAATTTGGGGGCGATACGTCGGAAAAGTGATTCGATTCCCGGGCTGTCTGTATGGAATTTGGCGTTCTTTCGCGTGTCGAAATAATAATAATAATAATTAATAATAATAATTAATAATAATTAATAATAATAATAATTTAGGCCTTTATTAGATAATGTTCCCACTTCCGGAGTCCTTGTTATCGTTTTATTTGCCGTAGTTAGTAATTGTGGACGCTAGATGGCAACAATGCACCGAGGAACCGCCCTGATCCCACGTTTCCACAGTCGAAGAAGTCAGTACAGGAAGCTCCAGCAGCTGTCACTGATCGCAGAACTGTTTTGACTGGAGACTCAGTCAAACCCAGGTCAGAGATGATTCAGGCGAAGAACCGACTCCGGTTCAGTTGTTTGGGAATATCTGCAGCCAGACTGTTTTCTTCTGGACCCGGAAGAAATCCCGTGGTGTTTCTGGACATTGAGGCGGATTCGGAACCTGTGGGCAGGATCATTATAGAGGTAAACAAACACTTTAGCCTCCGAGAACAAGGACATTGATGTTGTCTTTTGTAAATAATTATCTTTAAAAACATAATTTTAGTTATTTTATTAAATCCATGTTAAACTTGTTATTTAACGTGTAAATATTTATTTAATTAAAAAAAATATTGTTGTCGTTTTTAATTAGAATATCTTCAAGTATATACAGTGTCAAGGTTTTAGAATGTAGAACGTTAAATAAAATATGATTGATTTTTGTCATTATGGTTTGTAATACAGCTGTATGCTGATGTGGTGCCAAAAACTACAGGTACTTTAATATTCAAAACATTACTGAGCAATGAATATCTGCATCGTTTCTTTTTTGTTTAAAAATAAAATTGTATTCTTGCAGAAAATTTCCGAGCCCTCTGCACAGGAGAACATGGGTTCGGATACAGAGGTTCAGTGTTTCACAGGATCGTCCCCGAGTTCATGTGTCAGGTAACATAAAAACGTCCTTCTGTTACAGTAACCATCAGAAATCATTCATATAAATGACTTCACTTCATTAACACTCACACAGTCTGGGTAAATAACCCAAAGTTTTCCATGGTCTAATCTCCAACTTTATTTTCCAGGGAGGAGACTTCACCAAACACGACGGCACAGGAGGGAAATCCATTTACGGCAAATCATTTAAAGATGAAAACTTCAAATTAAAACATACTGGTCCAGGTACAAATATGTCTTTACAAATAGACTCTGAGATTTACGTTTCAGTTGTCATTGGATACACGGATTTATCACGTTTGTATGTTAACGTGCAACACATATACTGTGCTGTATTTAATTTTTGAGATATTTTGCCCCGCAGTTTGTCAACCTAAGACCACTAGATGGCAGTGTCCCTCTAACAGCAGTGACTATGCGACCTGTTAAGTTCCATGGCGAATGACCTACTTTTTTCAGTGACTCAGCAGTAACCAAACCTCTGTCCACTTCTTATATACAGTCTGTTGTGAGGGAGCCGCTAGTTTAGCTGAAGTTAGCTTGACTTATGTTTAACACAGCACAGAATCCACAGTAAAAGGTGGATATTGACTTGTTGACTGCATCACTTGTTGCTTGTCATTTTTGCAGGAGTCGTTTCCATGGCAAACTTAGGCCCAAACACTAACAACTCCCAGTTCTTCATCTGCACCAAAAAGACTGAGTGGTAAATAGAAAGATGTTACATTCTCTACGTAGTATCTCTTTTTTGTTTGTTTGGTTTGTTTTTACTTTTTTAACTGTAAAATCTGTTGTTACTAAAAAAAAAAACTTTTTGCACAAAAGTTTTTATAGTTTGTTTTTTTCCATAATCATCAGCTAACGATGTGTTGTCATTTGCAGGCTGGATGGTAAACACGTCGTGTTCGGGCAGGTGAAGGAGGGCATGGAGGTGGTAACAAAAATGGAGTCGTACGGTTTGCACGACGGCGGCGTGTTGAAGAAAGTGGTCATCACTGATTGTGGGGAGATTAAATGACAGCTCAACGTCCTCAAGAATCAAACACTATGCAGATTTTCACTGTTTATCTCGTTCCTCTGTGCATCTGCGATGCCTTCAAGGAACAGCTGTCTAATGTTAACATGTTCATGTTTCCACAAACTGACACTTTTACAGTGAGCATGATTTCCTCTCAGGCAGGATAAACAGATGTCAAATGTTTTTATTGTGTGTCTGCATGTAAATAATAAGTAGAGACTGGGAGGCGTGACGTCTTGACTGCTTTTACTACGTGTTGTTTTGTGTATATTTGTGAATAAATGAGTTCTGTCAGATTTTACTGGCTCTTGTTTTGTTTTTTTGTTTTGTTTTCTTCTCCCTCATGGACCAAACAACTCTGCTGGTGGAAAAGCTTCCTGGAAATGATCCATCATCTTTTTTTAGACACCAGCTCTGTCCACATTGACCTACTTCCTGTCCCATCAGAGCAGGATATGACATCATTTGACACCCAGTCAGAGTGGACCTTATCAGTGTAGTGTATACAAAATATTTGATTCTAATTTCAGAGAGTAACCAGTACAAACATTGAACAACATTTTTTGAGGATTTTATTTTTATTTTTTTACTTTCCACTTGAGGGAGCCTGATCACCACTAGAACCATTTGTGTTTCTGATAAATAATGATCTGTCCTTTCTTCTGCGGACCTTGTAGTAGTTGCACACCCTACTTTGGGAACCATTGCTCCACAGTATATCTGCTTGTCATTAATAGTCTTGTGTATTTTTTATTTATTTTAATTGCATTGTTCTGCTGTGTGTTTCATTCACTGTCAACCATGTCGGTCTCTATGTGCAACATATCACAATGGAATATTGTTGTCAACTGGTTTTGAAATAATAACGTCAGGGTCTGTCTGCAGGATTGTTCTTTCCTCTATTTTCTCATGTCTAAAGTCCATATGATAGAATGTCACAGAGCTTCAGTTCAGAGGGTGTAGGGCGGCTGACGAGTACTTCAGTCTCCACTGGATACAGAACATTTGGCTCCACTTGACTTGGTGAGACGTGATAGGATCTGGAGGGTCGTACATGATCTGAGGCCTCTTTGAAATATAGAGTAGACATGGAGTAGGAGGATGGGAGGAGGCGGGGGGGCGGGGGAGGGGGGTGAAGAGGAGGGGATGGAGGAACGAAGGCCAGGACGTGTCTGAGAGCCAGAGATTGGGTGGTGCTGCTTATAGAGCTAATACTTCATGAAAGTAAATAATGAATCGATGTGAAGGAGTGGAGAGAAAAAAAGAGAAGGAACCTAAATGAAACCACATGTCCACTGACCTTCCATCGTTTGTTTGAATTCTCAGATTACATCATTACCATGGAGACTGGGCCCTGTTTGAGCCAGTGATGTCGTAACAGAACTTGATAGAATTCGGGACCCCACCCTCGGCTGGGTTTAGATGTTTGGAATGTACGTCCAGTGTTGTGTATGGAAAGTTGGCAGGAAAGACGGCGGTCCTGATGCTGCGGCGATCGAATGTTTCTCTCTGCACGCAAAACGATGACATCTTTAAAAATGACACATGTTCTTGGTGAAGAGAGTTCTCCGCTGCTGTCGTGCCTTTGAGTGTGTGTGTGGGTTTGACCTCACACCATTTAAACTCCTGTCAGTGATTGAACTTATAGCAGAGTTTAGTTTTTTGTGAGTGCCGTTGTATGAGGTAGTGACACACAGTCTGCATCTAATTTACAGCTGATTCAACTCTGCACACACTCAGTGCCTACACCCTGCTTTAGGCAGACACATGCTGCCCTCATGTCAACGTTAACCAAAGGATAGCTAAACATTGGCCACATTTATAGAATATTACTGGAATAGACAAGAGCTTGCTAACAGTGAGCTATCAGAATTGCTCGTCGTGGTTGAAAAACTAATTTCAGTCTAGACAAATGTACAGAATGTTACCCAAAATTTAGGCAAAATAATTAGGTGAAATGTATGGCTGATAACTGAAGTTCAACACTAAGTTAACATCCATATGATAGCCAGGTAAAACATGAATTAAAGCTAACGCTGACTGCAGATTAGCGTTGAGTTGACATCCACAAGTCAAGCTAAAATGCTAAAATGCTAAGGTACCAAAAAATATGGTCTATTACCTATAAGTCAGACAAAAGTTTTCTTTGACTGATTACACACAGAGTCAAAGGTTTGACATCATTTTTGCCTTAAAGATTCCAAAAATATATCAAATGCACATTAGCATTATTATGATACACAACTCAGGGCTAATTAGCATCATCTTGGCAGACCTGGTTATTAAAGAGTTCTTTTGAACTCCTATAATATAGTTGAATGTCTGGGCAGTAGAAACCTTTGTGGTAGAACAGAACTTTGTAGGATTTATGTCGCTGCACTGATCATTATATACACAGACACTTAAAAAAGCAATATGTCATTCCTGGCTGAAAACTAAAAGGACGGAGTGAGAACCTCCCAGTTACTGACAAAAACAAGTTTTCATAAAAACCAAACAAAAGGAAAAAAACACACACAGAGTCCTAATTCAATAAGATGTTTATTCATCAAACTCTCCACAGCTCTAGAGCTCTAAAATGTTTTCCGACTAACAAATAAGGCACATTTTGGAATGCCATTCCATGGACGTGAAAAACAGACTCATGGTCTAGTGTTGTTTCAAAAAAAAAAACAAAAAAAAAAACTCCCATCTGTTTTCTGCCAGATTCAAATATTACATTATGGCAATATTGCATTACACACATCTCACCAGTAAAGTATACAGACATGACTTCTCCAAACCCACCACATACTGTAAGTGTTAACACATTACATTCAGTAAATACGTCGTATAATTCACTATAAATGAAATACTTATAACCCAGGTTTGCTGATTTAAAAAAAGAAACAATATATATACTGAAGAAAACTACCGAAACATATTTAAATAATATGTATACATTGCACCAGAGGATAATTTTATTTTCAAACCAAACACATGCACATGCAAACTCTACAACAGTTCTTTGTCTCACACACGGTTCTTGCACAAAACAAAAAACTACATACTGTCCTATGCTGCTGCTACAATTTTTATTTTCTTATAATACAAGTTTCTGCCGATTTTTATTTTCTTAATATAATTATTTTCTTATAATACAAGTTTCTGCCGTGTTAAAGTACATCTCACAGTTTGAACAGTTGCTAATACAGTGGTGAAGATCCCACACTGGTAGGGCTGTCACTTTTTTGGTTCCGTATTGTAGCAGAAACCTGTGTGTTTCTGTCAGAAGTACTGCAGTACTGTCCTACATGTACGAGGACTGAGTTCAAATGGGTTTAAGGTCAACTGGAGTTGGCAAAGGTATCTGAAAAGTTACGTTTTATGGTTAGTGTAAACCCAGAAAATCGCAATTTTTCCGCTGTATTGTTGGCTTTTGCCACTGACGCCTCTGTGGCTGCACATCCAAGTCCTGAAACGTTTATCATCATTATCCAGACTGTAGCATTAATACTTAAAAAGTGTAACAAAACTGTAGGTTTGTTAAAATTCTACACCAACCGTTATTTCTTGCGTAGCTTTTTAACAATTAATGCCTTTGTGACTGCACAAACAAACAAAATTAAAACCTGAGCATTTTAGAAAGCTGAGTTAGCGGACACTCTACCAGGAACACAACAAACAGATGGACCCCATAGTTCAATCATCTCTACTCTCCTTAACAACTGTTTTTTTCAAGTGACAGCCCTCGTCGCTAGTTAAGAAAGAAAATATTTCGGTGTTTACAAAACATCTCCATAATATTGTTGTTAAGCTGTATGTATATATGTATATATATATATATATATACATATATACATGTATATAATAATAATAAATGGCATCTCATACTTTTTCAGCGGGTTATTCAACACTGATAACATCATAAAAAACATAAACACGTCACAATGGCTTATAACTGAACAAAGGTTATTCATTATGTACCAACCTCTTCAATAATACTCTATGTAGACATCAATATTTCCTTCTTAGTGTAACTTTGTTGCATACTCTATACAAAAAAAAGTGTTGTAAAAAATTATTTCCTTAAATACTTCTGCAGGATAAACCCCTTAGATTAACTGTCAAAGAAAAGACAAATTCATTTCTTAACAAAAGGCCCTTCTTCACAGGAAAGAGATTTAAAAAAAAAAAAGCTTCATTTGCAAAACACTGTAAAAATCTTTAAAAGATGACGGCCGTCGAATATATACAAAAAATATTTGAGCTGTCAGGGAAAATACTATTTGGATTTTTTTTTTTCTCTTTTTTAACGTCAACTGTTTTGCAGATCACTCAACAATTTTCAACATCTCTGAAAGTGAAAATACACATCTTTGTAGAAAATGAACCGGTGCGGAAACGGTAACTAGAAAAGTCAAGTATAACGTATGCAATTTTAGGAACGCAGTCGTGTCATGTTTCTGGACTTGTACTTTTGGGCTGCTGCTCCTGGTGCGTGAATAAAAATCATTTCTACTAATGTGTCTGAGGGTGGAGCCAAAAACAACATCTGACAGAAGTTAGTGGATTTGGCATCGTTGACATATTTTCTCACAAACAACGACAGGTGACTTTGTAAGCTGCGACTTAGAGGAAAGGTTTGAGAAAAGAGTTTAGTTTTTTCCTGCCACTGAGCTCCTATTGGCCAGTCCCAGAAGGTGTTGTTAAGTTGCAGGGGCATTATGGGGATGACACCAAGAGCTTGGACAAATGTCAAATGTGTCACTGAACCATAGCAAGTCACTATTGAATACCAAACAGTTTGGCTTCAGTTCCACGGTCAGCCACCGTCAAACTGTCCCACTACAGTAAGTGACCGCTGTGTCTCTTGTCAAAACCTTGAATAAACACGAGGACAATGGACACGAGAAGTAAACAAACAGGTCAAAAGTTCTGTGTCCGGATCAACTCAGAACTGGAACCTTTGTTGTGGATGTTCCATGACAACAGACCACAGACCCCCCCCCCCCCCCCCCC